GATTAATAAATAACACTATTAAAACAGAAACATTATGAGAAATAAATATTTGTAGTAAAAATAAATTAATTTTTTTTATGATAAAATTGAATAACAGTGAATATAAGCAAATTATTATTATAATATTAGTACTCTTTTCCTAATTTAATGTAGATACATAAAATTCTATCTTCTTGAGTACCAGATAGATAAATTAAAAACCTGATATTTTCTATTGATGAGAAGTTGTTTAATATTAAGAAGTTGAATTGAATAAATATATATGAATATCATAACTATAAATAATAGGAATGAGTTATTCATATAATTTTATGTTTAGTTTTTATGTAAGTTCAATTCAATTACTAGTATCTAATACTCATAGTAAAAAACAAACTAATAATTGTACCTAATTGTATGACAGAAATTGCACTTTAAATTTATTCATCTTCCAAAATTATTTAGATTATATTTCAATTTAATCAATATTACATCAAATTATATGTTTAAAAAAGTTTAATCTATGAAATCATCAAAATCTTCATAATTTTGATTATACTCTCCTCCCTCTATGATTTATTTGATATAAAACTAGCATAGAATCAAAAAATCTGAAATTATTCTAAATTTCTTCTCAGATGGAAAATGGTTGAATAAACTGATTTAATAATTCAGAAATTGGATTTTAAGGTATGGCATCATCATTAGATAATAAATTTGGCGCAATAAAAATCTATTAGAATACAAAACATTGATGTGTATAAATTAAAGTATTTTTAACGAATATTAATTAAAATTAATGATCCCAGGAGGAGTATTTTCATAGTGTCTGCAGGAAATAAAGGAAAATTGTCCTCCTTTGCAACGTGTGAACTACAGTCATAAAAAATCATTTAAACATTGCTTGGAGTCAATCACTTAAAAGATTCCAATAGTAAAATCAATCCACAAACTCCGATTAGATTAGGAATAAAAAATATATTAGAATATTCACAGAGTCAAGAAATTGAATTTAATGCAGGAAATACATTAGGTAAATCCCAAACTGCACAATGAGTTAAAATAGATTTAGCATGATCAACTGACCCTAAAATTTGGTATTGAGTCAATTATATAAAAGCTGAATACAAACAATAGCAAGAGCAGTATGTGGAGGTATTGTCAGATACTCAGGATAGTTACATTAAGTATCAACAATAGTTAGAACATCATGGATCGGGATTGAAGATATTTCAAACCAGACCTCTCATTCGAAATATAATGGAAGAATATGATTAGGAGGAGAGTACCTACAGTGATTCTTACATCAATAAATATTTGGATCTTAATTGAGTATTATATAATTAATTGACCTAAAAATAATAATGCGAACAAAGTTTCACACTCTGTCGATGCCTTGCAAGAGGAGCATGTTGTAATCTGAACAATCGGAAGAATAAATAAACAAATAATAGGCTATCAACTCCAATTATCCTAAGTTAAGACTGGATGATTTAATAATTGATAAACCTTAGGAATTTAGAATAAAAACTAGTTCAGACTTAAAAATGTCATTAATACTAGAAAATAAAAGACGTTTGGCATAACCTGCAAACATAGAATGGATGTACAACTACAAATCTACTACTAAATTGCATAAACAATCTAAAATGAATGAATATCTAAAGTCAGTTATAGAAGAAAATAAATTAAGACCTACGATTGGACAATTACCTGATGTAAAAATACAGTCAATCACTCACACTGACTTTATCAAAGAAAAGTACGATTTCAGGAAGAAAATATTTTAGAATCCAAGGAAAGTAAGATCCATATTCAATTGATTATGTGTTTATCTTTATGTTTAAATTAAATCTCAAATAATAGATATTATTAAGTAATATTCTATCCAAAGATTAAACTATATCTACTGCTACAGTAAATAATTGATTTTAACATTAATTTCTAAGTCTGAATAAAGTTCGAGTTAATATAATAAGATATATGATGAATATTATAAATCATACATTAAATTGAATTAGGTTAATTTCTTCAGTTAGTATTGCATAGTCATATTGTTTTTGATCAACATTCGAAGCCACTTTATCTATTTGTTACTTTAGAGTTTGAATTTCTGAATCAATTAATTGTTTTTCTTATTGATCTCCCTTTAATTCTCTAATCTGAATGTTAAGATCAACTATTTTTTAGAGATCATCTTTAAGTTGATTTTTAAGTTAAACATTTTCATCAAATAAGGTTTTGTAAGTTTTTAATTTTGCTTTGATCTGATTTCTGAATTCGTCTGACTTTGTTTCTATAAGACTTTTTTGTTGTTATAGACTGCTATATTGACTGAACAATATTTGATTATCGCATTAAATTTTCATAATTTACTCATTTTAGGCTCTGTATTTCTGTAGCAACTATTATACAGCATAAACAATGGAATCACAGTCTTATTGGACATCAAGTAGTAATGATAATTCTTTGACCATTTATTTGTATTATGCTAATTGTATTTCATCAATTTGTCTAGAACTCTATCTTGGCGTGACACTATTTTTATTTTGAAATTCCATAATAGGTTGGGGTGGATCTATTCTGTGATCTGGACTACTTTGAAATTCTTCGCTTTCATCGAGTATACTATTTTGCATAATTTATTTGTAATCTTCCAATATCTTTTATTGTTTTATGCTTGATGCACTACTTTTACTTAAATTACTGCTAGTAGGTTATAATAATTGTTATTGTGGTTGTTATTGCAGAAATTGTTGCTATTATTACATCACAACAGGTTGAGGTTGCGGTTAAGGTGGTAATTTCTTATGTTAAGGGGAACGAGATGGTTAATTTTTGTTGGGCTAAGGACTTCCATAACGTTTTTTGTTTATGATTGGTTCTGACTTATTTACTGACATCATATGGTAATTATCCATCCTATTGTTGATCACAGGGATTTATTTCGCAGAGTTTCGTACTTCTGTAGTACATCGCAATACGAGATTCATAATGTTACCGTGTTCAAGTTCAATTTTATGAGATACTTCTCTTCCTTGGACATCATTAATGAGGAGTTTTGAACTTCCTAGAAGTTTGATATACCCTTGTTCATCAGGGGTTTCAATGTAAAATTGGAGCTAAGTATTATAGTGACTATAAGGCTTACAAATTTAGTGTTTTGGGTGTCAAATACATATTGATGAGGCTAGGAATATTTGATTATTTTTTGAGTTGATGAAAACTATTAATACAATATTTCTTTCCTTTCACCTGATTATATTTAAGAAATGTACCGCATTTGACTCCAATGTTGATTTAGCAATTGCCCAATGCTTATTTTAAACTGATTTACGAAATTGATATCTCTATCATTTAATGATAGTTAACTAATATAAATTATTTAATATATTATTTTTAACTGAATGATATTTTATATACATATTATGATCTATATATATATAGTGTTTTTAGATGATTAAAATAATTAATGAATAATTTTGTTTTCAGCAATTAAACAAGGTTTATAATATTATATTTAATAAACTATTTAGACCTAATATATAAAATTAGAATGAAATGGCATCAATCACAGTTAATCCAGCCACTAGATTATCGCAACTTTTAATACTGTTAATAATTACTAATGCATATATATTGATTTACACAACTTATTTGATGTTGGATTATGAGCTTATAATTATGATAGTGTTCTATTGGATAATCGATATAATAGTTATTTTGACTCTATCGATTCTGAAAATCAAGTTAGCATACTCTTAATAAAATAGGTATAAAATTACAGTAGGCAATCTGTTGATTGACACATTCCTCGCAGCAATTTTCAAAACAATAATTCTCGTCAACTTCACATATTCGGAACTAGATATCCAATATTTTAGTTATGTTATCATGGCATATTATTTCATCAGATCTGTAGTTGTTAACATTAGAAAAATCGCAATCAATGAGACCATCACATAATACTCCTTTGTATATGCATCCATTAATTCATAGCTTGTTTAAGGTGTGAAGATACTGTTGGTACTCTAATTGATGCTAATAACCATGAGATGGAAGTGCACCATTTATTGGAGTTGGTATACAACATTCAGCATTGCCTGGGGTTTATTAGTTATATTTTTTATCGTGCATTTTGTTTTTCTACTCTCAATCGGAGAAACCCTGATAGATTACTACAAAAAGAAGACAACCAAAATTTAGTTGATAGGGGGCATATGGCTAACATTTTATCTATGTGGATTTAGTGGAATTCCAATGTGGTTCTGTTATATCGTCTGTTAGAACTAGGAAGTCAATTCCTTTCCAACTGTCAATTAAGCAACCTTATTGTGCATCTTGATCATCTCTTATAACTTTTCGCTTCTTGTGATCACAGCCATCTGCAAGCTCTAACTTGTGTAAGAACTACCATTAAATATGTAGACAATTCATCAAAGACATCGGATTTGACAATGACAATCAATAGGAACCAGTCGTATAAGAAGAAAATTTACCCTACCAATTTCTCAAGATTTCCTTACCTTAAAAACTAATTCAAATATCCTCAACTTACTTTGATTTTGTGTAAGAGTCAAACAAATAAAATAAATAACAATAACTTTAGCAATAGCATATATCCAATAGCAACTTTAGTGTGATTAATCAAAAGGCCAGACTCAAGGCTTTCGAATTCATGGCTAAGACTGAACAAATCAATTCACCAGTAGAAAGAGAATCAGGACTTGTAAAAAGTGAAGAGAAGTGCTAGGTTTGCTTTGAAAACTAACCTTAAATTGTTATGCTTCCTTGTTAGCATGGTGGCATTTGTGATGATTGTCTTTAAAAATGTTTAAAGAAATCACCAAATTGCTACTTATGTAGAAAAGTATCTTATCAATTTTAACAAAGAAAATTCAAAAATTGCTTCGAGTTTCGAAAGAGAATTCTGGGAAATTTGCAATTAATGACATTGCATTATGTGATGCCTGAAATTAATACTCTATTAAAATGCGCTTTATTATATAATTTAAAATTAAATGAGTTTAAAAGAAATTGTTACCATAAAAAACATCCTTGATGCACTCTAAACCGATGATGCTGAAAAGCAATTACGAAAGAAAAAGCTGTTTGCCTTCATCATAGATGCATCCAAGCCCAAGAGACTTCAAGGATAAGGAGATTACATGTAAATGATCAAAATTATGGATGATTCCTATAATGGATACCTGACTCTATTCTATTTCTTCAAATCTCTTTCTGAGGCTGCTCCTCTCGATACCATTGGAGATATTGTCTTCTTAAAAAGATACCATTACTAATTATTTAATGGGGAACCTCAAGGGAGAAGAAATAGTTTCAAGACTTCATATTTCCTATTGTTTGATGCAAATACATAGCAATTGAAATTCAATCCAAATGATAGTTCAGAACCCTCCAATGAAGAATTGGAATACATATAAAAAATCTCAAATCATAGTTAATCATATTTGTCCCAAAACAGCTGTAAGCCAATCTATCTATTTAGTACTTAACCTCTACTGGTACGGAGTAACAAACGCAATCTTTGATGGATTATTTTCAATATAGGAATTGAAGGATGAAAATGTAGTTTAATTAAGGGATTCTAAAAACAATTAATACACCCTATTATGTATGGGATTGGTTGATTTAGAAATCCAAGAAGGAGCTATCATAAAATTAAGAAACATCTAAATGTAATTCTTACTTCGATTTTCATTATAGTTCCAATGAAAACGAGATCTTAATCACTGATAAAACCAGTATCATGTTGTTACCTAATTTCTGTTATGATGTTTAGCATTTTGAAGAAATCAATCAAGTATTTCCAAAAATAGATTTTCAACAAGAAAGCTATTAAACAATAACAATAGGAACACGTAAAACATTAATAATTAATTTTGTATAGTTACATAAATCAAGAAAAAATATGAAAACTAACAATATGTTCCTTTGATTAATCTGATATAAAAGTAAGTTAAAGAGAGTATCATTGTGGTTTAAGGGCAAGTTCAAAGCATCTATCCTACTTCAGTGGAGGAGGCTTTCATATTTTACAATAAATTCAAATCTTTTTCTTACAAAGAAGTGATAGCGAACAATTTGTAAATAGCAGGATTACAGAAAACGTTACAAATATAAATTAACATAAGAGATGCTTCACTAGAGGGAACAACCTACGTAATACAATTATTGATTTTTGATAATCCTTCTTTCTTTCCGTTCCCATTAGTTTGGGACAATGTCGAGTATATGCAAACAGAATATCAAAAAGTAATTAATATGTTAGAAATGATTTAGTTACTAGAAAAGTTGATCCTGGAGCAAGATTAGACACACGACTTTGTTTTGGAAGTAATTGAATCGCCTGAGTCTACAATTTATAGAGTAATTGATACAAGAATTATTTATTGATATTCATTTATTAATTATTGTCTTGATTGTGTCTATAAAAGTATGAGGAAAACATGTTTGTTCCAGTATGGGAATCAACAAAATGGCGTTATTGAATGAGGCTATAATCTCATTTATTTTTTATTAATTAATTTAATGTAAAATCCTAGTATCCTGAATTTGCAATAAGTGAAATAGTTTTAAGTTAGAAGACCGTAAATAACGAAAGGTTCTCCTCTGTTGAAAGGAAACTAAGTGTAGATTGCAGGTACAATGCGTGTAAATGGCATAGCAAACATTCGTAATTAAAGCTTGTTGAGTGATCAACCCCAGCACTTAAAAATAAAACAACAAGAAGAATAAGAACTGTAATGATTGATAATTATTGTAAATAGAGGCATGCACAACCAATTCGAGAGAAGAATATAAAAGCAAAACTAGTTTGATATAAAATAACAAGTAATTAGTTTTGTAATAATTCGTAGGATAACATCTTCTAATTGAAATTAAGTAATGAGCATCAATTGAATTAATTGAATATGCAACTAATAAAGAAGAATAAAATTCTAAGCAATAGACTTCAATAATAATATAAAGTATTTAAATGATTGCAATAAGATTAATGAATCTTATTTGGAATAAATTAATAAGCTACAGGAAACCAATCAAGCTTATGAATCGCAAATTCATTAGTTGGAAGAGAAAATAAAAAAGTAGAAATCAAAAAAGAAGCAATTGAAGGAATAGATCGACCAACTCTAATAAGAATTGGATGAGATGCAAGAGAAGTATCAGAACAATTCCAACTAAGATATGAATTAAGAGGTATGCGTTAATCTCACCCAAGGATGATCAATAATAATAATAGTAATAGAATCACATACCTCTTACAAGACAGCAACTCTATTAGTTAATGCAATATTTATACCAAGGAGATTAGTAATAGTTAGAGAACTTCCACGAATACTAGGATTAAGAAATCGATCCAGATGCAATGACTTATGAGCAACTCTTGGAATTGGAAGAATAGATTGGGTAGAAAAACTGATTAAATTAGTAATGTGCCCAAGGGATTAACCAAGTAATAGATTAAGCAATTGCCAAAGCGGACCCTGGATCATGAGAGTATGCCAGAAGACAAGTAAGAATTACATAACCAATCTTAGATGTTCAGTATGCTTGTTCGAATTCAAGGAAGAGGAGAAGGTAAGAGAATTGCCTTGCAAACACATATATCACTCTAGTTGTATAAAGAATTGGTTGCAGAACAATAAGCAATGTCCTCTGTGTAAAACTGAAATCGAAATCCAAATAAATGATAATGAAGAGCAATTGAATTAGCAGGATGAACAAGATTAAGGGGATGAACCATAAGTAGAGTAGGATCAACAGCGGTTTGAAATAGAATGATTCTTGATAATTTTACATAATTAATATATATTTCATCAATAAACTATACTAATCTACATTCATTATGACTTTTTTTGTTATAGGATTCTTTTTATTAAATTCACGGTTATAGCTGTAATTATCAATGATATTCCTAAACACATTAGTCCAAAGACTATTTATTTCTTTGAAATTGATCCTTGTATTCTAGACATAAAATCGTATTTTGCTATAAGGAATGATCTCTCTCTTTTAATATCATCAAGCAAACTATTTAATTTCTTCATGTGACCACCCATTTAATTTAAATCCGAGATTTTGGCAACTTTTTACATGTCTGCTAATTCAGATCCCGTCTTGTATGTGATATTAAATATGATGCCGTCATTTTCCAAATTTATAAAGCAATATTTCATGTGAGAGGTTCTGTGATTTGATTAATGTTGATAATTGTGTTCCCAAGCACCACTTTTTTCGTATAATGGAACGTATTTCTTCTACTCTGATTCTTCGAGTTTCACAGAATAATTTGAAGAATTTGCTCTTACTCTCAAATCAAATACATCATCCTAGGAAAAGTAATCCTCGAAGCATATTGATTCTCCTCTCTCCACTTCATAACCAAATTACACCCCCTCAACAAGTCCAACCAACAGTAGCAAGATCATTTCAGGTTTACTTTTATTATTTGATGTTTATTAAATATAACAAATTACTAAAACCAAAAAAGATTATAGATATAAAATAGAGCTCATTCAACTTTCCTCCTTAGTTGGTATTTTTATTGTGAGATTCTTCTTTTTGTTTACCACTGCAGAGGAAAAATTCTTTACTTTCCTTTTAATTGCTATACTATCCTCATCCCCTTTTGGAGAACATTACTATGGATTTGTCGGAGGCCTAGCTTGTCGATCAGTTTTGTCTGGAATTTCAACATACGCCTTAGGCATAGGCTTATTATTCAAATTATTAATGGTTCTAATCCTCAGTTTTCTCCATATACAAAATATCCCAACCACTACTAAAATAGATGCTGCACCTATTATTGACACAAGCAATACAGTATCGCTTATCATTTCTTCTGTCAATTATTTTAATTATTTATAATAATATATATATTCAATATTAGACTTATTCTAAGATTATTCTCTCTACTGATAGCTTCAAAATTACATCACCTAGATTCATTATAAACTAAGCTCCTTTATTTCCCGCTTGGTGATCTTTGCATTCCCACTCTTTATACTCTCAAATATATGTATCTCATAGTATTATAAAACTAAAATGTGTAAATTGCTACTAACTAATCGATATCACTTATTTGTTTTTTACAGTACCGTTTTCTCATTATTAAATAATTTTTATCATTATAAAAACTATTTCATTTTGGAAATTAATCAAATTAGAATCACTTCGAATTGGAATTCGGATTAAGTTAATTTTTGTATCGAATATAACAATTTTATATGGGATGAATAATTCTAAAATAACTGCAAAATTATTTTTGATTAGAATTTTGTTCAAATTTGAGAAAATGACATATATTTATATACAGAAAATTGTGGGTTAATTTCTAAAGGTTGGTTGGTTTTTGAAAGTTAATACTATTGATTATGTATTGCAATTGAGGAATCATTATAAATTTCAGTTTAATAGTTAATTAATTTTAATTTTATGAATACAGATATAGAGTTGGACAAATAAAATAACATGAGCAGTCCTTTGATAAATAATAAAGAAAACGAATAAAAGAGTAGTTAAATTCTAAATAGAAGTTCTTCAATCTATTAAATAAATTAGGGTTTGTTACGTTCTTAAATAAACGAACAACTTGATAAATCCCTTTCAGAATTTGTAATATTTATTGAAGTATCAGTAGTAATCGATAGAGGAGTTGAGAAAAGTGCTGCCCTTCGTTAATTACGGTAAGGCATTGAATATGCTTCTGAAGGCAACACAGGAGGGAGAAGTTGAAGAATTCTTAGTAATTTTGGATGATTTGAAAATTAGAAAGTAGAAATTAAGATTGGACGAGATATTGGATCAGAAAAAGTAAACTCTACTTCACATTGCATGCTTTAAGAATTTACCCGCTGTAGTGGAGAAATTGTTGGAAACTGTGAAGCAAAATTCTACATAAAATCAATTTGAAGAATGGGTGAATAGAGTCAATTAGGACCAATTTGCATCTGTTCATTTTGCAGCCTATGTGGGTTCTATATCAATATTAGAGATGCTTAAGAATGCTGGAGCAGATATAAGCATAAAAAATTCTCAAGGTTAAAATGCTTTGTCAGTAGCAGCTTAAGGTGATTAAGTTTAAGCGATGGTATGGTTATATTTATAAGGTCAATCAATAGTTGAGTAAGATTCACAAGGAGGAACGCCTTTGCATTGGGCAACGTATTTTGATAGTCTTTTTGCCCTCCAATTTTTGTTGTCATGGTTGTCCAAACTACCGAACTACAGCTATTATATAAATCTGAAGGATGGAGAAGGTATGACCCCTTTGCACTTGGCTGCTGTAACTGGAAACTGTAGAATTGCAAAGAAATTACTTTAAAAGGGAGCAAATAAAAGTATAAGAGATTCTAAGAACTAAACTCCTGCTGAAGCTGCCTTAGAAAATCAATAGAATGGTGTTTATGAGATTTTGATGTCAAATAATTGCTTATTAGAATTTCTAAATATAAAGCCAAGGTATTTGTAATGAATACTAGGATAGCATCAAACCTCCCTCTGTAAGTTGGACTTAAATCATAGCTTTTTTCATAATCTACTTTTATTGTATGATAGGAACTATTTTGTTTGTCTACCCCTTTTATTTCAACCACGAATGGCTTTAAATTTTGTCAGTCTTTTCCTTTTTGTTAGGAATAATACTGTATTTTTTGACCATGTTCTTACATCCTGGTTATATTGAGAAAAGCACAGATTAATATCAGTTGTTTAAATTATTGAATGACAATGAACCTTGGGAAGTGTGTTAAGAATGTCTAATAAAGAAACCTGAGAGGTCTAGACATTGTGAATTTTGCAAAAGGTGTATCGTTGTATATGATCATCATTGTCCTTGGGTGAACAATTGTGTAATGATTATGTTCATTCTAATAGATTGGAGCAAAAAACTACTTTATTTACTTTTCCTTTATTTCTATAATTTGGATAAATTTGATTCATATTTTAATTCTGAATAGTTTGTTTATAGGGCATGGATACAGTGATAGCAATCCAGTTTATAGTTGGTTTAATAATATGATCGAGTCTCACTCGAATACTTTATTTATAACCAAGATAGTTGTTTAATCAATAATAATATTTTTGAGTGTTTTGTTCATAATAGCAGTGTCTCATTTACTTTATGGATAAATCATAACATTATTTACAAACAGGACTACATTTGAGAAGTACAAGCAAGCTGAAAACTTTCAGTCCAACAGTGGGAAGTCAAAAAGCTAGAAACAATTGTAATAATTCATATCATATTAGATCATAACAATCAATAAAAGCTGAAGATCCTAAGATATAATGTTCATGTACGAATTGTATATTGATGTGTTGTGGAAATGCTAATAACCCTGCTTTTTAGTGAAATTGAAATCATAGAGTGTGTATAATATCTCAAATATTATTATTTATATGAAATTCAGTATACTATAAAAATCTTGTTAGTTATCAAATGTTCAAATAATAATAATAATAATAATAATAATAATAATAATAATAATAATAATAATAATTAATTGTAATGTCATACATTGGAATCAATACATCAGGTGGCATCAACCCTTGCATCACATTCTATGAGAGAATGCAAGCTTGTATCAATAGGGAAAATCTGCCAAACAAAATGTGTGCAATTGAAGGATTGGACTTCTTAGAATGTGTAAATCGAAGGAAATAAGTAAAGCAGGTTTAATAATTTTTAGTATGCACTCAATTACAAAATCCAATAAGAATTGCACAAGAACAGAATATTAGTATTACCAACTTATGATGTCGAAAATGATAGGTTTGTATCAAAATATTAGAATGCAACAGAAGTGTTTTAATAAAAGCATTGAAAATATACAAAATACACAGAAATATTAAATATCCAAAATACTCATTATTATGATGGTAACTTAGCAGGCCTCAAAAGAAAAGCTTCAAGATCTTCCCAGAAGGCATTTACCACATCAATATCTTGGTACCTTTTGCTTCTGTGTAAATCGAAAACCTTAACATTCCATTATTTGATCAAATCTTTCGGTTTCTCCTCCTCAAACTTTAAGTGATAACCTCTGATGCTAAGTTTGAGATAGTATATCAAATTACTTTTTAAACAACTGATTGGGATTTTAATCTGGGAATTGTTTCAACTCGTAGGTAGATCCCCTTAAAAACACTGCAACCACTCTTTTCCAATTAGTTATTGTATTGGGAGTATCCAATATTAAAAATTATTATTCGCTATAATTAATACCATAATCCTTACATGTCCGTCAATCTCAACTTGACTTTAATTTAAACTGATCTGGATTCGTTAGTGAATTTCAATCCATTTGGGTCCAGATATTATCCATATTCTAGAAACTATTACACATTCTTCAAACAAAGGTTTCCCAATTCAGCTATTTGAGGCACTATAATAATGGGCTTTTCTTTCGATTTAATGAATTCATTCAACACAGAATAAGATAATTTAGCAGTCGATAGTTATTTCGCCTTGTTAACATCTTGCGTTCTAGTTCCTAGAATTTACTATAATTCTTCTTCGTCTCCTCCTACTCCTACATACTAGCCTTAAAAGATCTTTATATGCTATGCTTATTATGAATACTTTTTAAGCTGTTTTCAAAATATCATCAAATGTCCTATCTTAAACTCTGAATAATCTATTTCTTGTAGTAATGGGTTTCTCGAATCTCAAAATCTCATCAAACACCTTTAGATTGAATTCTTTCTCAGTGAGTGGCTAATTCGATATCATAAATTTACTTCCTTCTCAGAATCAGGCTTAACCTTTTTTTAAGGACCAAATAAAACATCCTCGTCCTTTTGGAGGGGTTTCCTAATTTAGGGTGGCTTTTTGTCTGCATTTATACAATTTGTATAATCGACTTTGCCGGTAAAATATTCAATAATGTCTTAATTATCAGCCTTGAACACTTATTCAAAGTTTAGATCCAATGCTTTTTTTCTATAATTCTTTTGTTCCAAACCCTACAAATGACAATCCAGAAAACACCACAATGCTCCAAGAGTATATTCCTAACCTGATTTCGACTTCCAAGCTGTTTCCTTGTAATCATCATAACTCATATACAGTCGAGCATTTAAATTCAATATTGTTATCAAAGAGGAGTCTATGGTCTGTGTTTTTGCTTTTCAATTTAATCTGCTTATGATGAATCACGTGATCTCTTAACAACTCTAAAGGGTCATTCCTTCCTCTCCTAAACATTAGAATATTATTATTTTTAATTAATATAATTCTGATAAACAATATTAGTACTATTCTATTATCATTGATACAGTAAGTAATGAATTAGATATGCACTTTCCTCTTATCTCTGAATACGGCGACAAATTAATTGAAAAAATCTTCTTAATATAATATTTCAAGGTTTTGTACAAAATTTAAACTCTTAGACAATATTATTATATAAATGAACAAAAGTCAATGCTATTTACCTAATCAAAAATAGTTTTATGCTCCAATCGTATTGACATTGAACATGATGTATCTTTCAGGAATGGTATCGATTGCTTTAAACGCTTAATTATAAAATGGAATTTTATACTTTGGTTGTGCAGTTGGATCTAGGCTATACAAGTAAGAAAATATTTTTATTTGTAATCAGATACATCTAAAGGTTTTCAAATCGTGTAGTATTTTATATCTCCGATTCCATACTTTTGGTTTCATTAATAACATTCCATTTTGTAGAAACTACTATAATATCAGAGACAAGTCTCAGTTTGTTAGTATTAAATTTTTTAGTTGGAATTGCTGGAGGTATCAATTTAATATAAGTGATGATGTATTTGAGATTGAAATATACTGATGAGGCAATCTCCTTCTTTTCATTATTCATTCCACTATAATTTGCTATTGGGAGCATTCTAAATTTATTTCTAGTTGAATATGGGGGATACTAAATATCTATATATGTGTACTTAAGTGTAACTGGTTTAAAGATATTATTGATATCAATAATACCATTTTCTGGTTTGTCATAAAATGTGAAATAATTAGAAGAGGAGCAATTGCAAATGAATTAAACAACTGAATTACAAGCAAACTAAACAGAACAGGGACATGAGAAATTTCTTCAAGCCTTTTTAAAGAACTTCAAATATCTAATTTTAGTCATAATCTTTTAGACTTCACTGATTTAGTTTTAATATCATCCATCATAATTATTGATGATCCTCTTTAACATGATATTTTACAACTAAATAGACAAGAATAGATTGATTATATTAGGTTAAATTAGTGTATGTTTTGGATACTGTTCAAACCTTACTAGTTTTTCGAATTCAGGCTATTATTTGGGATTAGGCACACTTTTTTATCCTATTGTGTGTAAGATATCAACTTCAGAATTAATAGTAATTTCTGAGATTAGTTGGATTATAAGATTAGCAACTATGTGTTATATAGCAGTAATGTAGAGGATAAGTTACAGTTTATTTTTATTGGATAGCGAAGTCTAAAATAACGTCTTCTTTATTCTCAATTTTGTCAGTTTGACCTTATTAATTTCATTACTATTTTATTCAGTAATTCTTAATATCATTCATTATAGAAAAAACCAGAGAAAACTAAAGTGGAGGAGGAAGTGAATATGGAAGTCCAAATTACATAAGAACATAATGAGAGTTGAACTCAATTTTAACAGATAATATTTGAATATCATATATTAATGAATAATATATATTTCCCAAAAAGAAGGAAGGTTCTTTAATGCCCTGAAACAACCACTGAATCTGAATTATAAACAACACGATCAATTACTGTAAGAAATAATTTTGAATGCTCAGTCAACCCATTATGAGGTGCCTAAAATTATTATTAAAACAGAGGAGAGTGAAGAGTTTCGATTCCAAAGGGTACTAGATTATAAAATTGGAAGAATGTCTTTGGTGATTTTTTATCTGAAGCCTTGTTGAGGAGAGAACAAACCAAAATAAAAGATATACAGAAACCGCAATCGATCGAGCTTATATACATGAAGTTCCATTATAAATCCACAATCCTAAGTCCTTCCATAAGAAGCAATTTCACCAAATATATTATGGGAGAGATTTCTGCTCAAGAATTTGTAATTAGAAAAAATCAATCTCAAAAACTTAATAAATTAATTCCCCCAGCCATAAAGAAATCAAAAAGACCAAAAATTAATGTGTATTAATACATATTCATTTTATTAGTACTTATCGCAGATCTGCAGTAACGGATGAAGGGAATCATGACATAACCTTCTTATAATTATTGGATGAATAGAATGAAGAGATGCTCAAAAATAGCAAGCTTTGGACAGATCTGAAATGATTAGAGATCTAATTGAAGAAAATATTGAAAAAAAGAGAGAAGGATTATCTTGTAAAAAGAAGTAGAGAATTAAAAAATGTTGGAATGATCAAATAAATGTATGACATAAGTGATCAGTATATTCAAGACTTATAAAAGAAATTGGAGGAAAAAATTTAGTTACTAACAAAAAATTACCATTTAAATGGAATTCAGTAAATATCATAAAGCACTAAAATCCATATCAATTACTAATTCAAGAAATCACAAAAATCCTGTTAAAGTCAAATATGAACCTCCATAAGGAAACATGTAATATGTCATCTAGTAAATAAAAAGGCCAAGGAATACATGGAAGAATTACTTATTAAAGATTATGTTGAAAATGAGAAAGTAAAAAAATAGATCTATGTAAATTATTAATTCAAAAAAAAATTATGCAGAAATCTACTAAATCTAATACTCCATAAGCTTTTGAAAATAGTGAGTAACATAACATTAAACATACTCATCCATTCATATAAAAGGGTATTAAACGCAATTAAATTGTCAAGAATCAGTTGATAAATAATGATCTAGAATTAATCTAGTATATTACAAACCATCCTAAATACGATCCGTATAAAGATAAAGATTGTCAACAATAAATCCAATAAGATATTCTAGATGCTGCTGGATTATCCTCAAATAAAAAAAATATAATTCCTTCAAGGAAACCAGCTTAGGCTTTCAAATAATGTAAAGGAATAAACTAAGGTTTAAATGCTTCCTTAGATTCTTGAACTGATGACGAATCGTAAATTCTATGTATGAATTCAATGTAGACAATCTAGACTAATAAAGTATGAAATTGTAAGAAAAGCTACTTGAAAATAATACACAGATGGATTTACTAAAACGATCAAGGCGATTTAAAAAAATTAATAATTAAAAAGTTAATGCAATGATTTTGTAATAGTGATATTATTTTTTAAAATATATAAAAACTTGAAGGAATATCTCCAATCTGAAAAATGATATAGAGTTATCTCAGAAAATATTTTCAAATCTACTCATCAAATCATATAAATTTAATAACTTTATAAAAACCACAGGATTTTTTTCTTTTTTAATTTAGATGTTTATAGTATTATTGAGAAATAATCTTCAAAGATGCACCTTTGTTTTTTTTTAAATGTTATTTTTTAATTAAATTCTTAGAATAATTAATAAAATTTGTATTTAGCAAAATATTATTCATCATTTAATTATTAAGAATTCAGGTTGGAATTTGAGTTCTTGAGCACATCCATGACAAAAGTATCTATTTTGATCTGTAGTTTAAAATTTCTAGCGTTTAGTTTAAGGAGCAAGTTGTTTATTTTTCTCCAAAGTATATTCTATAAAAGGCAATCTAGATTATGTTGACCTGCAATTACAAGTGGCTTAGGCTTATATCGCGAGTAATTGCCATTCAAAATTTTCAGAATTCGTTATAGATCCGATGAGCCATTAATTTTTCTCTGGCAGTTAATCAATATAGTTATGATATTTTACGCTCATTTATGTTGAGCATTTTTTACAATCTGATTGAAATTTATAGATTTATGATTATTATTTTTAAGGAGGGGAACTTGAAAGATATTCTTGGCAGGATGGGCATTTCAATTTAAAGCATATTGAACGTATCTTAAATTCTGAAAAACCTTCTCCTTTGATGGACAACTATATTCTTTAATCTCCTTAGTTATAAATTTCTTCTTTATTCTGTTTAATCTGTTTGGGCAATATTTCTGACTAATTGCTTTTGTCCATAACTTCCATACTAACACAATCCACCCTTTCTCTTTGGTTATCCTGTCTCTAATTTTGTTGATTATTTTATAAATAAGTATTCTAATTTATCATCTTTTTTAATTCATCTTGGAAATCTTGGGCTTTTTTATTATCAATGACTAGTTCCCCATTATTCTTCTCAATTTATACTACCTTTACCATTACTTGTTTTACTTTCGATACTTCATTAACCTATTCCATTTAATTTTAAGCATTCATGGCTAACTATATATGAAACAATTTAATACTTTTGTCTCCTCCCATTCAAAAATTTCTGGAACTTTAATAAACATGGTAATATTATTTTAAAATCTTATTCTAATAAAATAAAATAATTAATATAAGTTCAGAGAAATAGAAAAATTAAAATAGATGAAACTTAGAAACATAATTTTCATAAATTTATTGAATAATAAAAAGCTCCCTAATAATTTGCAAAATATAAATATATATATAAATTATCTCGAATCTCTATAAATTGATATTGTAATTAGTATGAATGTGAATTTGAAATCTAATTAATTTTCTATCTTTCTGATATAATTAATCACTCCTTTATTTTATCCTTAAGGGATCGATTATTAATAGTTAACTCAAGGAGTAATGTAGTTTATACTAAAAAGATTAGTTAAAAATTTGATTAGTTCTTTACATAATTATTGATACATAAGGATGGTAATTATTGTTTATAATTGTAATAAGTAAATTATTTGACTTTACACTTGTAAACCATAATGCAAGAAGGGAAATTTAATATTTAGATAATGAGTTTTATATCTCATGTAAATTTATTAAAGAATTATTAGAAATTTTTGTAGGAAAATGGAATAGGAATAAATTCAGATACAGAAATATCTTGAAGATTCATACTTAACCTAATATCCAAGCACAATCCTTGATGTTTAGAATGTACTCATCAACGATGCCAAAAAATAAAATGTTAATGTCATATAATTGCTTCTGAAGGAGAATATTTTTCATCCTCAAGGAGGAGGGTAACCAGATGATGAAGGCTAGATTAAGATAAATGATAAGTATAGAATATGTTATATATTAAGTTTATTCAATGTAATGTCCCTCTAAAATGACAAGCCAAAATAACAAGTCTTATTGAATTTACAACATTAACAATAATTATTTGATCTTCTTATTGAAGCAAAATAATCAAATCAATCTGTTATTTAGATAGTGAATGAATAGCAAAGAAGAAATTTTGCAAGACTTCATTCAGCTGGTCACTTTATAGATATGGTAGTTAAGAAACTTGGTTTAAAGTGGGCTGGAGCCAAGGGTTACCATTTTCCTGATGGATCATATGTGGAATACACAGGAACTTTAGAAGGAAAACCTGAAGATACATAATTATCTTTATAATAAACTTGTGATTAATTATTGAATGAGACTGAAGAGAACGATAGTAAACAAGTGGAATACTTGAATGAAGAACAATTGAGTCAGAGGTTGGGAGGAGAAGTGCCACATTATTTCAAAGGGGCTTAGAATGTAAGGTATATTAAGTTGTGTAAATATGATGATGGATGTCCATGTGGAGGAACTCATGTGAATCATGTAAAGGAGTTGATTAAAGTGAATATTGTGAAGATATAGAAGAAAGGAAAGTTTGTAAGAGTTTCTTACAAGGTGTAATGATTTATAACATGAGAGAATCAGTTATATAATAATCTAAATATAAGTTTGATCTACTGTTTGAGTCTCTGTAGAGTATTTCAATAAATAATTCTGTTTATTGAAGTAAATATCAAATAATTAAATGTATTATTTTATTATTATAAAACGAATTTTCTAATGATTCTAATACTCTTGGGTGTAATTTAATTCATTTAAGCATCATCAGAAAACAATTAGAAACCAGTTAATTTGAGTAAGTTTGCCAAAGTATTTGAACAATATGTATGATAAAAATTATATATTGAGAATCAATCGAATCAATTCAGCAAATCATTATTTACTCAATTAAAGTCCAAAGTTCAAAATGGAGCAACTATTTAAGATCTTGATGACCATTTTGCAGAATTGGTTGGCCATTTAGAAAAAGATGAATTCTCACAACAATAATTATATTAGGTTGAGCAAGCTAGATTGGAAGGAACAATCTTGTAATTAGAAGATGAATTAAAATAATTAGAGGAATAAAATGCATATTTAATTTAAAAATAGGAGACTTTGAATGAAGAAGCCCAATAAATTGATGTGTTATTTAGTGCCAATCATGAAGCCTACATTTAAAAAATTGGAGAGTAATACACTTTAATCGAAGCCATTGATGAGTTAATATCATAAGTTTAGGAGAAACAGACCATCAAAGATGACAGTGATATTATGGAGAAGTTGAAATAGATTAGTGAAGATCAACACATTAGCATTTTGGCATAAGTGACTGCTCATTTAGATATTGAATAAGCAGATAAAATCTTAGTTCTATTCTAGGATTTGAAAGACTCACTAAAAGAAGGATTAGAAGTGGATGAATAAAATAATGAATTAAACGTTAAATTGCACACAGAAATTAGACAATCCATAGGCAGGTATGGTTTATGAATCAATTAGTTTAGTATGATACCTGAAACACTCATTTAATAAGAAGAAATCCTCAATTCTATAAAAGAACAATAAAATACTTTAGAAATTACCAAATTGGCTTTAGAAAAGCTTAAGTCTGATATGAATGAAGTTACTTCTGATAGGTATTAATATTATTAAATCTAATAGAAACTTTGCTTTGCTATAGATTTAATAGGCCAAATCAATTTTATAACACAACATTCAAGATCTATCGGATTCTAAATGATATTAAATATTTTAAAAACCTAATGCATTTATCAAATGCTATATTAACAAAATTGTAAATCTACTTCATACAATTATCATAATTAATCATAATCAAAGGATATCAATTGAAAATGATGTATTTGGAAGAGAATTTCCTTATTATTTGGCATTTATTACTTTAATTGTAATCTGTAAGTTCCATAATTTATTCTTTAGTTCATATTATATCATTCATATATAGTTATTAGATATAAGATCATCTTATTTATCAATTAATCTTTATCAGTATAAATATATTTTATCATAATAATTTTTAAGCTGATATTTCCAATAAAGGTTTCAAATCTGGCAAAGGTCTTCTAAACAATTAACTCGATAAACAGAAGTTCTGTGCTGATTTACTGCTATACAAAGAAACCTTGCTTCTATTCGGAACCCCACGGATCTAATATATTTTTGACTCATTTACTGATTGACTTTAGAGACAAGTTTGTAACTCGTCTTACCATTCTTTGCGTGATAATCTAAATTTCTGACTAGTTTTGCTCAAATACAAAGCATTCGTGCTATTCAGCTCTGGAAATACACTTTTGTTTCTGTAGGGCCTATAAAACCTTCTTTGTAGAGTTTTCTATTCCTGTTTCCGACTTTATGGTAAGCTAAAGATATCTTATTTTGGCAATGAAATCTCAATTCTCATTTAATTATTTCTCATTTATTTATTATTAAGCCTAAAGAAAAAAACATAATTAGTTGGTTTTTGATTTTTTTTGTTATTTCTTGTCCATGCTAAATCATTTTAAATTTATCTATTAAATGAATATTTTACTCCCTATTGAGAACATGCCCAATATATCAATTTGGCTTTTAACTTTACTGAATCTTTAATAACAAGATTTTGTTTATAGAAAACGAAATATCATTTAAATTGAATGAATAATAGATATAAGATAACAACATAAATTAGAAATAAATAAATATCCTTATATCTAGTGTGTTTTCGATAACATTTTTTAATGTTAAAGTCATGATAAACTATTATAATCTAATCTTGTAATGTAAAATTAATTTTTATTTTTATTTAATGTAAGTATATTGTATTCAAACTACTTTATCTATCTGATTACTAAATCTTATAAAAAACGATAAGTTTTATCTTTAATCTATAGGTTGTTAATGGAAATATCTTAGCTCTTATTTTAAGTTATTTTATTAATGTGTAAGTGTTAATGATTATTCAAAACTTTTGTAAATTTTATCAATATAATATAGAATAAAATATGTTTTAAGTATTCTTCCCAAATCAACTGGTACTTACGTATGTTAATTAAATAGTCATTTATTAATTAAAATTTCTCATAAAATATTTCAATACTCCATTTAATTAAAGCTAATAAATTAAAATAAATAATTAAAATGAAGAAAAATAAATATTTATAGAGAATCTATTTAGGAATTTAAATTAGAATCTTTATTAAAATTTGAATAGATGACACTATTATTCATATAATCAGAATTGGAAACTTATTAGGTAAACGTATAATTAAGGAAATTTCTTCATATTATTGATTTAATTAGTTTCTATTGTAACCTTACCGTTTTCTATTTCACATTGAGGAATTGAATCTAAAATTTTCATAAACTATGATTAGTTACACAAATTTTAGTAAAAATTAAAACTCAAAATCAACATATAAAAAATATGAAATTAAACACATATCAAAAATCCAATATTCGAGATCATAAAAAATTGTAGATATAATTTAATTTCTTCTATAAAATTTAATCTTTATATATATAAGTAAGGGAGAATTAATTAAAACTTATTTCTCTTCCAACAGAATTATTTTAATATTTTGTAATATTATATTTGAACTAAGATTAGAATAGATTTTTATTTGAAGAAATTTCACCTTCATATGAAATAGTTTAAAAAAATGAATCAATGTATTTTGAAAAATATTAAAATTGACACTCATTAATTGTTGTTAATATTGAGAGAAGATGAAGATTTCTCAATAATAAGGGAAAAGTTTAGTATTAACTCCTATATTTTGATTCATCGAAAATAGACCTGGAATTTTAATGATTTACACTGTTTCTTATTCTCTATGTCTTTTCCAGTTAGGACTTCTATGCTCTTAAGAGTATATAGATTCATTCAGTTTTGGATCAGGTCGAGTATGTCTTTTATTTTTCGAATGACAAAGCGAACGATGACTTTTTGTTCTAAAGATAGTGCCTCTTGCGAAACGAACAGATCTTGTTTCTGGGGAACCACTTACACTATCTTTTAGTTTGCTATTTTTTTTTAATATGCTTTTCACTGATTTGGCATCATCATCCCTTTCTACTTATAAAGATTGGTTGAGGACAGGAGAATTTTGTTTACTTTCATCAAAATGACTATGAGTAATACTAGTCCTAAATAATCTTCTTTTTTGTTTTGAGGCTCTTTTTAGAGATTCAATATCATCTCTTTTGGATATTTTTCTTAGAGATTCTTCTTCTTGAAAATTATAGAATCTCTTGTCTTTAATGATTCTAGTTTGTACAGTTAACAAGATTTCTTCATCTTCAACTTTTTGATCTAATTCAAGTTTATTGTCGACATTTGGAGATTACACATTTTGATTAACATTATTGGATAATTTGTTATAAATGCGATTCGATGAAGAGTCTTTCAAGGAAATAGTATCCGATTCTAAGCTTTAGATCTAACATGATCCCATTTTAAGAATTTTAGTATAATATAATATAAAATAATGCTAATACAAACTTATAATGCGTTCAAATTAAACTTCTTCTCAAGTGATTGAGTTTTGTTCTTTTGGAAGGGGATGACCTGTTGGATCTAAAATTTGTGCCTTAAGCGAAATGTACTTTTTTATGCTCAGAGAGTGAATTAAAACTTTTATTTAATGGAGATTTGAGTATGCTTCTTTAAGATTGCTCTTCATTATTCTCTAATTAGTAACTTATTCTCTGAATATAAAATGATAAATCTAGGTTTTAAATCTAAATAAGTTCTCTCTAAGGATTATGTTTCTTTTTGATTCTTCGGGTCTCACTTTTCACAGTCACTGGACTGTCATTAACACGAGAGACTTTGGATGGACAAAATTATCGTTGATGATCTTCTTGAAAATTAAAACTTTTCATTCTTCCCTTACTTTTATTGATTTTGTTGATAGGATGATCCAGATCTCTTACTTCTGATTCAGAATTTCTTTAATTTGTGAGATGAGTGTATGTAATGCTCAACTTAAGGGATGAAAATTTTGTACTTTTACTCATTTCATTTAAAGTTCTCATTTTGGATTCCAAACTCATAAGATCAGAATCTATAGTATCCTAACCTACAAATTTAGCACAAGCTGATCCCATTTATAATTATATTTTTAATCATAAATAATCATTTTTAAGATGCGCTTTATGTTCATAAGTCCATTAAGCCATTTATTTTGATTTTAAATTGCTTGCATCCTTCTAATCCCTTTACTCCTGAGCAGATTGAATTCTTTGATCCAAAGATTGATGATATTATCGTATTCTATTCAGTTTATTTTCATATTTTTGGTTATTCTGACTTTTCTCATCTTATATAAATTATTCCCTATTTTTCGAAAATCGTTCCCCTTGGGTCATGAACATAGGAGATGTCTTTGGGGGAACAAAATTAACGAAAGTGTTTTTGTAGGCAGGAGTGGCCCCGAATCTTGTCGAAGGCCTTATATCTGTATGATTGGTCTGAGGTCGGAAAGGTTTTTTGAATTCTTCAGTCAATCTTGACAATTCAGGTAAGAAGGTTTTGGCTGCATTTTGAAACGTCTTACCAGGTTAACTATTAATTTAAATTAACTGATTTCCAGCATTATCAACTATCGTCATTCCAGCCCTTAGTTTATCATGAAATTCGCTAAAAGTAGCATATCCTTTATTAGATGGATCAACATAATTAATCAATATCCCAATTTCCTATCCATTAAGTATATTCATTTCTTCTAATTTCTATTTCATATCCTACTACGAAATGTAACCATCTTTATCTTTATCGAAATCTTTAAATAATTTATACGCTCTCTCACTCCTGTTAAAAAGTGAATTTTCAACCTTCATCAACACATCTGACAATTCCTTGGATTAGTTCGGTAAGTACCAAGTCATTCCAGCATCCTAATTGTAAAATTCTATAGACATATATATTAATTCATACTGATTTATTTTTCAATATCTTATTGTTTATTATCTATAGCCTATAATGCCTAATCCACCTTGGATACTTGCTCAGGAGGAGCTGGTCCCTTTTATCTCAATTAAGCTCTGTCATAAAATTCCTAGTCAGTTTCACTAAATTAAATGGATCTAGCAATTACCTAAACAATATCCTAACAATTTCATCAGCTCTTTGTGTTTCATATTAGCTAAATTATAAGACACTGAGCATGCTTTCAAGATCAAATTTTTAGTATCTTTCATTTACACTTTCCAAAAATTGTATGATTACATGAGAAAATTCTTTTACATTTACATTATTTCCTTAGATTTTACTTTTAAGAAATTCCTCAAATTTAGTATTCGATGGTATATATCTTTAAATCTTATTCATCAGATTCTTTGTCTTGGTTTTCATCTTCTCCAAGGAATGAGCATCCACTCTTGTTATGTCAAACAAAGTAATAAGTTGATCCTCTTAATATTTCATACTTTTTAATAATAACTATTTCTTATCAACTGGTTCTTGATTCTTGTTCGAATATGGATCATTGTACACTTCTTCTTACAATTAGAATGACTTAAGATGATTCAAGAACTTTTTATAATCAAAAGTGTCATCTTGATTTTTGAAATTGTCATATAAGATTTTGAGATCATGATCAGATAAAATACTGGGATCTATCTCTAATTTCTTAATTACTCTTTCAAATCTGCCAAAACTTATGTATCCCTTTTGTAATTCATCTTACATGGTGAGTTATTGTCCCAATTATTATAACTTAAATTATAGACGGTAGAAATACTCTGTTTTTTAGAATAAGATTCACTTGATTCTAGTGTCTTCTATCTCTAGCTTATAAAGCATCATTTCTTAGGAAATCTATGGTTTCCTGATTTTTTATCAAAGAATCCTTTTCATCTTCAGTTAATGCCGGCAATGCCTTTAAATTTACATTAAGAGCATCCTTATCATTGAAAATGAGATCTAGAAATTCATCCAATCCTAAATCATTTGATCCATCCATGTCTGCACTAGCTAACAAGACTCTAGCCTCATCAATGTTAATGTTGATGCCTAATCTTTAGATCATGTTATATAGATTCTTAACGCTGACAGCACCATTGGAATCTTCATCCCACAAATTGAAGATCTTTTAAAAGTTTTTTCTATTTGCATATCTTCTTCTAATAGCTCTTCTGATATCTCTAACTTTTTCTAGGTCTACCTTGCCTTCGAGTGTATTCTTATTTTCTAAACCGACTAATTAGGTTTCTTGAATTCCTGTAGTGTTCTCCTCTCTCTTCTACTATGCTAATTTCTCCTTCTACTCATCTAATTGATAAGTACTGAATAATACATTTTTTATGAACTGGACTTTCCTAACTCTACCTATGTTCCTCATCAAAGAAAAGTGTATTAGAATCACCACAAAACACTCTTTTCATCAATTCCTTCTCTTCCAAATGGGAGGATCTAATTTTACAATCTCGAATACCTCGGATAGCCAATTAAATGATGTTGGTTAAATTTTTTAGCTGAATTTTTAGTTTCCTCAACAGGATCTTTGCATTGTACAATTCTTTTAGACTTTTGGTCTAAGATTTCTGAAAACTTCTTATTTTTGGGAACAGATAATGAAGCAATTCTATCTCCATCTTATGAATTAATTTGATTAATTGAAGTATTTTTGAATGAATCTAACATCCTTGAATGAAATGATACAGTTTACTTGAAATCTCGATTGGTTTTACCTTGATGATGAATGCGATCTCTTCTGACTATCATCTAGAACAGTTACAATTAAATAACCTATTATAAATTTTAGTTAAATTAATCTAACTTATAGAATATACTTGGAATGATAGACATAAGAATTTGGTGCTCATTTGGCTGATATTCTAAGTTGATTATATTTCTTATACTAAATTTTGGTATGTCGGTCTGTTTGTATATATTAATTATTTTATGGATCAAATTGAATTCAAAACACTGGATGAATTCATTAGACTCCTCCACAAAAAGGGTAAGATGTTATAGAAATATAGTGTCGACATTCACGACATCTGAAATGTAGATTTAGTTGTAACATTTGGCACAAATTCTAAGCGAAAAATAAATATAGACTGAAGCTAAGAATGATTGTTTTTTTAAGAGATGGAGTGAAATCAAAATGCCTATAAGTTTGATAACAATTGATTTCATCTCTTAATTATTTGTAATCTACACCAAAGTGAACGAAACCTTGAAAGAAGATGTATTTATTAATGTATTGAGCATAGATTTTATTAGATTTTATTTGGCCACTCATTGTCTACGAATTTGAAGATAAAAAAGTAGTAGTTGAATATTTCACTATTTTGAAAACCATTTACGATAGAAAGTACAGGGAATTACTTAAGAGTTTTGGAATATTGGAGATAGTCAAATACATGGTAATATTGTCGACAATAATCACAGCTTAAAACAACCGAAATTGATGATATGATTTGTTGTGAATAACACAACAATAAAGAAAACCCATAATAAATCATAACTCAAGAAACTCAAACTAAAATAGATCAATTTGGATTGTTCATCAATGACATCTTCCATCAAATGATTAATGATTTAAGATAATCTACAGGAAACAACCTCACCGACCTAGAATAACTATTTGGAATTTCAGTTCATCAATTACTCTCCTATTGTACCAAAGATCACAATTACTGTTAAGTTCAAACTTTGTTAATCATTCTCCTTGTAACATTACTAAACTAATACTTAGAATCAATTACCCTTAGTTAATGCAGACATAATTCAGAAGGTATTCTAAAATTTTGAAGCCATCAGTTTTATTGTCCTATTGTATAATTCGACAACATCTTAAGTACTTCAAGTCTACTGCATAAAATTATTTCAAGTTATCACAAACAAGAACCCTTCGGTACCATCAATATATTAAATAGATCATATAAAAACTTATTCTGAGCATGATACCATCTACAAAAAATAACAAGTTTATCGAGAATTTACATTCTGAATCACTGATTTGCGCAATATTAGAATGGCTGTTGAACATTCCTACTACAATAAAAATCACTGAATATTAGATGTTTGATGAAAAACTAACATTTAAGAATCATGATGTTATGGAATTAACTCTGAATTATTTGTACATCTGTCCTGTTATGATGAAACAATAATTGATAACTACTTTGTATACATTGATGAGGAATAACAAAGACAATTAATTATTTTTGTTATCCAATAAACACTTCTTAAGTACATTTCCCAAATTCTTAATGGGACTTTAAGATGAAGATTTACTAGAAACTGATGAGAATCAAAATTCGTTACAAAAATCAGTACTTATTTCTTTAATTTAAAGATATACGATACAAGTTTAAAATTAATATCAACAGTTTTTATGAACTAATTTCAAAATGGCAAAATTGATATGCTATTTTAATGGCTTAAATTAGCTGAATTAGAGCATCTCAAATAGAAAAATGAAGATCTTGATGGATTCAAAGATCCCAGAACTCCTAACTATTTTATTAGGTAATTGATTACATATGTTTTTAATAATATTCTTAAAAGCTCAATATTAAACACATCTGAACTATCAAATGAATTGTTGTGGAGAGGATTTCATTTATTTATTGCATCCTTCTTGGCTATCATCACCAAAGATTTAATTCAATAAGATTAGAAGATATCGAAATTAATAGGGAAAAAGGTTACATACAGTCCTCAATTGTTAATGATCACCTGTAAATATATATAAATAAGAATTTAGAATTGTTTGAAAACCAACAATGGAATGATCATTAATTTTGTATTCGGATCATTTAGATTATTAACTTTTTGTATAGTTAAACAATATCTATGAATTTGGATATTATAAAACCAAGCATTAATTTTAAGACAGGTGAATTCGCAATATGGTTGAATCAGCTATTCAAAAAAATACTAAGTAATGAGAAGGATAACATTTTTCTATTGAGAATCATTTAGACATTGATATGTTACTATTAGCATTACATAGTGGCATAAAACTTTGGATAATAATAATTGGAAGAGATTTAATAATTATTGAAAGCATATAGACATTTGATGTAGAGTCTCATTTGTGGAAGTTAGCAGTTCAAGAATTTAAAACATATTCCAGTAGATATTGAATATTAGATTACATTGAGTCATTACTTTTACATTGAATCTTAGATGAAACTAATAAATTAGATCAAATAAAAGTGTTAGAAAGATCATCACGGATCTCATGATTCCTTTTTCAATTTGTATGCATTGCAAGAACTGATAGCTTACATTCAATAATAATTGTAGGAGTATTACCTTAGTTTGATTAAATTGTGTCAAATTTATGGGAAAAGATCTTAAATTTTCATTTGGAACTTTTGCTATGAACTCATCAGAATGAAGAAATATGAAGGTGATGTTCTAGAGTCCTATTTGCAGACATTGATCAATCAGCCTGAAATAATCCACGACATTGTAGTCAGTGATGAAATGATTGTGTATTACTATGATTGTCCAAACATGGTGAATATGAAACAGAAATCATAATTGAAATTGAATGAATTGATCAGATGGGCTAATCTGTTAATACAACAATAGGAACATGAGCAGATCTTACTGTATTAGGAATAATATTCGAGACAGAGTCAAATTCTGATGAAGGATGTAACTAAGACTTTGGACAAATATAATTTGATCTAATTGCAAAATTATGAAATTTTTGAACAAGAGAAATTAAAATATGATCAATCTAAAACATTATGATTTATATAAATTGATATTAATTCAAATTCCACCCCAGTTCTTTGAATATTCGTTGAACTCCCACGCTAATTATATATATCTAATTTACATGTTATATATCGTCGGATGGAATGCGAGAAATAGATCATGATCAACAAAACTACTGATTCTATTGTGATTTGTATTATAATCAATCCCGTTTGATTCAGTGATTCACACACAATGTCACTTATCACTTTTTCAGATTCTGGGTACAAGCGATACTAATTCATTTAATATGCCATATATCCATAGACCAGAATTCTAGTGAACAAAACCGACAACAATGCCCAATAATATCCCTAGTCCTACACACTTTATACCTAAGAATTTTCTGTGAATTCTTTGCATCAATCGAATAAAACCCAAAAATTGAACACAAAATCCAAAATATATTCCCTATTAACAAAGCCCCTATCATGTAAGCATAAGACAAGCACTTGTCATAATATTGGAAAAATTAGAATCCATGCTATATGCTATCATAACTCAACATGACCTAATTTTCAATTGAATTGGTACTGCAATAAAAGTATTTGCTCCTTGTACAAATTGTACTCTCTTCTCTATATTTGCATCGAATGAAGAGGAATCAGCTGAAACCAAATAGTTCTACTGTATGTGTCTGATTATAAATGGTTTTGAGGATGTATTCATAATAATTTAATATTTATATATATTTGGGATTTTTACATTTTTCCAATACCTTACCATCTGAACCTGTAAATTTTCAATTCCGTATAAAATACCTAAGTGTTTTTATATTTTATAATAATGATATTTTGTTATTTCCTCTTTCTTGGGTGCTTCTTGGCAGCGCCAATTATCTAACAAAATTCATTCAAAGGTATTAATTTTATCACCCTCCCTTTCAATATCTCAAACAATCAAATAAAAATCACCTTGGACTCTTAATATATTGATGAATACCAGCTCCAACCCTTTCTATTTATTTGCCTCATTAAGCCTACATCCACTACCTTCATGTAGTTGCTATCAGATGAAAAGTGAGTATTCATTTTAATTAGATGCTTCGTAAATTGGTTTTCCTATCAAATGAGATAAACTTAGTATCTCATCTTGTAGAAGCAGTCAACCAGCAAAGAAATATCAAATTACTATCAAATCTATTAATACGATGAATCTTTATATATTGGATTTCAATCAACTAATGAAGCCAATATAATAGTTAGAATATAATAAATCAGTTCCGATTAATGCATTTTGTATATATTCACTTTATATCAGGGTATGTTAAAATGAAACCGAATGTAAAAATCAAATTTGCAATTGCAATTTTTATCAAGTTGGCTAAGATTGCAATCTTATCATAGATGATCTCACTTCATAATAAATATTTTAGGGTAAAAAGATTTATTATGTTGATGTCTAAAAAGGGTAAAATGAAAGTCAATCAGTTTTATTAGAATTTCAAAATTCAACTACCTTCTACGGATTCTGCATTACCTAAAATTTCAATCCAAACCTAATTACATAATAAAATAACAAGACATTATACATTTCCTTGGATCAGATAAACCAATGCTACGAAGAGGTACTGAATTTAAGAGAATAATTTAATTCCTCCATCAATTACTATTTTCTAATATATTTTGATACCAACAACCATACTTACTTGGAAAGTTCTATTCAAAATACCGATAATAGCTAACTCATTATAATTCTTTCTACTATTTTATCCTCGATGTCATTCTGCTTTGTGTTTTGTCTTATAAAATCAAATTGTTTTAAAAAATAAAAAGAGCCTGAGAAAGAAAATCAGAAATATGAATTAAAACATGCTCCATCCCTCATTGATTAATTCTTTCCATCCTAAGAATTTGTAGCACTTCGAAATAAATGCGAGAAACTCGTGACACTAAATCAATGCCTGATTTGCCTTGACCTGTTCTACGATGATTCACGTGTAAGAGTCACCTATTGCAATCATATCTTCCATACATCTTGCTTTGATAAATGGATGAATGTACATAAAGTAATGTGATACCACATATCACCAGAGTTGTCCTAATTGCAGAAGTCTATTCGACGAGGAATCCATCCTTAAATATTCCAACTAGAAAGAAGCTGAAATCTTTTAATGGAGCAGTAGAACAGAGGAGGTGAAGACCACTTTGAAACCACTAATCAATGAGACTTAACAATAATAACCTTAAGTTTCTCAACTAGATTCACAGAAAAACATTCAAGCCTTTTGAAATAGTTTTTTTTTTTATATACAAGAATTTGTAAAATAATTAATTAATGAAGGAAAAATTTTGCCTTGCATTTAAAAACGAATTGGATCTCATCTAAAAACTATAGTTAAACCCATTATTTAAATAAATCACCGTATGGACTGATCATTTGTTGGAGAATCAACAGTTGACCGAACAAGAATAACTCTTATATCAGTTGTCCAATAATTTAGATCATTTCAAGTAAATATTGTAGGAATGTTGTGACAACCTAGAAGAACAAAATCTAAGTCTTATGTGTCTATTGACCTTATTTTTTGGTTTGATGGTTCCCCTCAAATTGATTGAAGAAGAAAATTTAGCTAATATTACAGAAAGATACTTAAGTACATTATTTAACAATTGAAAATTTAGTTTCACATTCTAATACCATAAAACTATTGATTACCTTGTTTCAAAAATTTAGGTTTAACAATATTATGGTGCTCTTACCTTAAATTTATGATTAGGAAATCAGCAAACTTGCATAATCAATCAAAATTCACTTGTTTGATAAAACCTATATGTCCGCATATAATTTAATTGAAGAATACACTTAGAATGTAATATCTGTTTATTATGCTATTAGAAATCCTAAGAGTGTTTTGATAACATCATCAAATTGGCTTAAGATTTAGATATTTATTCATCAAATTAGTTGCATATGTAATTGATTCAACAAATCAAAAAATTTATTGAATATGAAAGCAATGAGTTGGCTTAAAAGTTTGTAGATATTGAATTGAATGAATATTATGAATCCATTCCAATTTTTAAGGATGTAAGGGTGGTTAGATGCAAGGAGGATCTCTTGAATAGGAAATTGTTTATATTAAATGAGTTCGTGCATGTTCCTGAAGATGAAACCATAGAATATAAGGAGATGGTCAATTTAGAATCTAAAAATCAATTCATAGTCAAGAAAGCTGTCTCTGCATTTATGAATCAAAAAGGGGGCACGCTATTTATTGGAATCAAAGACTCATTCTAAGTGAGAGGATTTTCTGTTGGAAATAACAACTACTATTTTAGATAATGTCTATGGGATGACTGTCTGGATTTGATTCATCCTTCTTTGATATTTGAATAGCAAGTCAAAGTAGATTTGATACCTGTCTATTCATAAGAGGGTCAATAGATTGATGGGAATTACATAATTAAAATTGAATTGATTAGAGAACCTAACTGTTAATTTGTCTACACATTTGGGGAATTGATTGAACATCATTAATAATGTGAAGCGACGTTTTGTTTTAAAAGACAAGGAGATCAATCTAAGGCTGTCAGACATCATCATTTGAAATAGTTAATCAAAATTCTTAATTTAAATTAAAGCAATATTGGCTTTGAAAGAATTGATAGAGAATATTTTATTGATGGGAGAATGAAAAATAGAAAATATGCTAATTAATCATCTCATGAAAGAGGAGAGTCAAATTAAATGTAATACAAGTAAGATTTAAGAATGAATAACCAGTTCTTAAAAGAATTCTAATCGAATTAAATTCTAGACCAAAATTTTGAACCTCATCCAGATATTGATTTAGCTAATCTAAATTTATAAATTGATTGCTAATTAAATCAACTCGAGAAACGGTAAGAATGGATTGTAATTCGCAAACTGAAATTAAATGATTTTGATAAATTGAAAAACATCCTTTAGACTCTTCAAGATGTTTGTGTTCAAGATATTATCCTTGCGTAAACCACAATTCATATACAATTGAAAAATCATAGCAAATAGGAGTTTATTGATAATCTAAAATATCAACTTAATCGAATTGGAGAGCGAATTAAATTTACATATGGATATCCATAGGTAATTCAAATTGCTAATGAAAATGATTAAATAAATTACTTTATCTCTAACGCCTTAAACTTGCATAACTTCAATATTCTCCCCAAAAAGGAATGTAGAATAATAGAAGCTAAACATGTTGAAGATCTTATTTAAATTTATAAATTTATAAAAGAAAATATAAAGATAGAAGTTCATTGGAAGTTAAGGGAAGCTGAAGAATTTGTATTCGCACCCATAGAAGATGAGTAATAAAATTTACTAAATTGAAATATAATATTTAAATTCAGTAATCAATCATAAAATTATTATCTGATTGTTTATATCCATTGTTTGAATACTAGAAATGAATAACACAATGATTTCAAATAAGGTAGGCAATCAATGATGAACAATTGTGTTAGATTCAATATATTAATTCTATATAAGCATCTAAAAAATTATTATTATCAGTATAATAGAATTAAATTAAAGGTTTGTTATTTTTAATTTGCTAGCATGTTGTAATAAATGAATGAGAATAATAATCCTGTCTCAGCATAAAAATATCTAAAACAAAATTGAAAGGAAAATCAAAAAATGACTAAACTTATCACTTCAAGAATATATAATATTTTGGCCTATATTCTTTCATTATGATATTTTCTCATGATATAATTATTAAAAATTAATCCAATAATTTACACATTTAATGAAAACAAAATATAGTCAACATATATCTTTTAATATTTGATCTTTATTTTGTAAATATATGCACGAATAGTTATAACTCACTAACTCTAAATATATTATCCACACTTATTTATTTAATTCTTTGAATTATTCGTATTTTTAACATAGTATCTAAGCCTTTTTTGGAATGTATTTGTAGATTTTTTCTATTTTCTGTAATTAATTTAATAATGGAATAATAATAAAATGAATAGGGTCAAGCACCTAGATTTGAAGAATCTGTCTTTAAACTGACCACATAAATGATAAAAACATGTAATCCTAAGTAAGTGAGTTTATGACATCTATGACAGGACTTTAGATAAGAAATTCCTCAAAGACTTCAAAATCAAACCCAGTGAGACACTTGTCAATTTGAATAATACAAAATTAGATCCTTAATCTCCAAAAACTAGCAAGGCAATGTAGGATTTACACCTATTTTGCAACTAATTGGAATTGCAGTACAATTATTTCTTTTACTCATAGAGACAAATAGGAGTTTAAAAAAAATGGAGAATCTTAAGAGTTAACAGATAAGAGATACTGGTTGCACTATTTCTAGGTCGCTTAAATAAAAAAGTCTGTGATTTTGTAAAGGAATAAGTATAAAAGAGAAGAATGGATTGAAAAATAGTAACGTCCCAAATCGATCTAAACTCTGGATCAAAGCATGAATAGCAGTATCAATATTAGTGAATATGCGCCTTATAAAAGTCCAACAGAAATGATAGAAAGTTGGATAGATAGTCAAGTGTAATCGAGTGATCGCCAATTATAAAAATTCAACAAACTATAATAGGTAAATTATTACAAAAAATAATATAGAAAAGAAAAGAATTAGAGGAATAGAATGAAGAAGAATAAGAAAAGTATAAGGAGAAGCTTGATACAATATTGGAAAAGAAGAAAAAGAATAGATTAAATAATTTAAAGCAGAAATCATAAATCGCCAGAAAAGATGTTTCTAAAAGCCTAGAAGTTTCTACTAAGATGAAGACTGTTGTTTAGGAGTAAAAATATAAAAATGCACAAATGAAAAAATTATAGACTGAATAAAATATCGAAAAAGCGTAATTAATAACTAATAAATTAAATAGATAAAAGAGAGTTGACCATATTAAATAAACATATGTGGATGTATTAGAAGAAAAATAAAAGATTTATGAGGAAAAATTGCATTAAGTTTTGAAAAAGAAGGATGAATAGGACAATTAATTGATGTAACAGAGATTATAAGAAATATAAACAGAGAGAACTCATAAGTCAATCAAAAAAAACATAAAATCTGATGAATGGTCAACCAAATTGCCTTTGTTGATTAGTAGAAGTGAGGCTTAATTTTAAAATGTTTATAACTCTAATCTAGCATCAGTCATTGAAAAATTTTAGAAGGAAGAGAAAAAGAAATTAAAACTACATAAATCATAAGAGTTGGAAAAAGAACAGGTTGAAGAAATTAAACAAAAAGAGGAATAATTTAAAAAGAGATATTCAGATAAACTCAAATAGTTTGAGTAATTATGTTATTCTATTTATTAGGAATAAAAGATTAAAAATTGAAGAGAAATTTGCTAAAAAGGATTAATATTTATCGGAACACTTATAAAAAAAGAAAGATGAATTGGAGGAGAAATTTGATAAAATTAGAGAATTAAGCGCAGAAAATGAAAAAAGATTCGTAAACATAAAATAATAATACAACAATAAATGTGATAAATAAATGGATAAAGAATAAAAGAAATTTAAATAAAATATGAGTCTCATTAAATAAAGAGAATAAATAATTGAGTAATTAAGATATAAACGATTCTTGGAAAAGAATAAACCTCTGAATTTAGTTTAAGACACTACATCAAAACAAAGTGAAAGCAAACTTTAAGTATGATAAGAAGAAAATAAAAATATATATAAATTAATTTAATGTACTTTTAAATCCATAAATCAATCTGTGTGTTAAGATCCTTTAGTTGCACCAACGCCTGGCTTTCCGTGTCTAGTTGGTTTATAGGTTAATGAAAATTCGCCCAAATATCTAAAGTTGCTTAAATCACATATACCTGCCAATCATATCAAACTTGATTTCAACATTGCTAAATTGTCTTCCATTATAAACTCCAACAATTGAACCCACCATTTCTGGAACAACAATAGTATTTCTTTAATGAGTCTTGACAGGTTTGGGTTTCTCACCAGGCAATGTTTCCTTCTTGCTTTTTCTAATCTAAATATTCACTATCAAATCTTTACCTTTTTCATTAAATTTTAGAAGGCATGTACCTTCTCCCCTTGATTTGAGATTCTTCTTCTTTATCTGGCTCTGAATTATTCCACCAATTTATCCATAGGTAGTTTAACCAACTCTTCAAGTTAGAGACCTCTGTAAGTGAACTTCTTAACTCCCTTGAATTGTTTGTCTTATGTTTATTCTGCCATAATTTGAAAAATGAAAATTAAAGATTTTAATATATTCCAAAACATCAAGCATTATATAAAACAATTATTTCCCTCAATTATTTACGATCCTATTTTATTTTAGCATTTGTTCTAAGAAATTGAAGGTAAACTCATATGAGAAGAAAATCAACTATATTGTGATATATTATCAATAATTTGAAGGCTAATTGTATCGAAAATATATAAACATACTTTTAAGTATTGAATTTAATTCACTATTTATGATTATATTGTTTATTTTAAATTTAATCATATAATAATATTTTATTAATAATGAAATAGTTTGTCAGCCCATAGGATATGCTTAATAAATTTAGAAACCCTCATGAAATTTATACACAACAAACAGATTTTTATTACGACCCATAAAGCGATGCAAACATACCAAAAATTTTATAAGTATTACTAATTTTAAGTAAAAGCAATCAATCAATTTTTTTGATGATGAAATAAGTAAAAAAACAAAAGATAAATTAATAGAGGAGTTAAGATAGAACATTATTCGTTGGTTAAAACTATATTAATCAGTTGAGTAGGAATTTGCTGGAGAATTGGCAGTTTTTGGATCCTATAGATTTGGAGCAAATGGAAAAGACAGTGACATTGATTTGATAATATTGGCTCCCCCTTAAATAGATAGAGAACTTCATTTTTTTTAACAACTGCCTTCAATTTTGAGTTCTAATTCAAAAGTGACAAATTTGTATTGTATTTAAGAAGCTATGGTTCCTTTGATTAGATTTAAATTTGCAGGTTTTTAAATATTCATACTATAATATAGGAATACAATTCGACCTAGTATTTGCATGTGTTAAAAAGATAATGAAGCCTTTAAGTCAGAGCGATCCGGTTGATGAGAAATCTAGCAGGTCTCTAAATGGATTAAAAGTAAGTGATTACTTTTCAAAATACTGTCATTAAAAATCTTATTTATCCTTTCTGAAGTTTATTAAAGCTTGGGCAATCAATAGAGGTATCTATGGGAATGTGATGGGTTATTTGGGAGGAATTTCATGGTAAATACTGACTCATAAGATATTTCAACTCTATCCCAATTACAGTGTTTAAGGATTGATTGAAAGATTCTTCTTCATTTTCTCTTAATGGAAATGGAATGAATTACCAGTTGTCATTCAAAAATGTGATGAAATTTGGAGAAATTCTCTTTTTGAATAATAATAGAAGTAACATAATGTAATGACAATTCTAACACCAGTGTATCCATACATTAATTCAGCATATAATGTATCGAATTGTACATTTACAATTATTGAAGAACAATTGAAATTAGCAAACATTATCATGTAAAAGATTTGCCTATCTGAATTATAATGGGTACTATGAATTACTTATAATAGTCTGACTTACTAAAGAAAATCTAATTTTTTGATATCTATTACACGTATCTGTAAATAAGAGCATTGTCTAAGAATAAGGATGATCTAATTTAATGGAAAAGTCATATTGAATCTAAATTAAGAAAGTTAAATAAGATGTTAGATGAAGGTGATGTAAATAAAGCAATAGAATTTCATCTTTACCCCAAAAGTTTCCAAACAGATTATGTCTAAGGAGATGAAAATGATACTCCTGGGTCTCTCTTTAATTTCAGTGAGAGTTTTTTTTATGGAATCAGAATAAAGGATGAAGAATTAGTTAAAGAAAAACTTGATATTGAAAATATTATTAGATAATTTTGTGATTGCCTTGAAGGTTAGAAGCCTTATTTTAGAGTTCCAGAGAATCTTAATTTAGAAATCAAAGTAATTTATCACTTAATATTTAGTCATTGCATAAGGATTAGATTCCAAAAAAAATAAAATCTGAATTGTGATGTCCTACTTTATTATATATTTAATTATTTCATCATCAATTTAATATAGCTCATTTTACAGAGATTATAAAATAAAATCATATTCACAAAACCTACTTCCACAATTTTTTTTGTTATAATAAACTAGTATTATCTAGTTTCTCAGAAATATGATTCAAAATTTCTGCTTAAATTTCGTCAACACTTTTAAGAGCATCAATTTTATAAAAGTTTTCTTGCTATGCTAATTGATCAAAAATGCTACCTACCTTGTATTAAAATGAAGAATTTTCGTATATCTCCTTTCCATAATCTCCTCTTTTGCTTAGTTCCTCGATGGGGGCAGTTAAATAGAATGTGATATCTGGTTAAATAAGTCCTGCATCTGGAGCTTTACACCATTCAATTGGTAAACCTTTAGCTGCAGAAAATGCCACACCAGAATAAGCATAACGATCGCTTACAATATTAGTTCCATTTTAAAGTTATTTCAAAATAGATGTGCTAGAATATATTAAATTTTCTTACTGCTACTCCCATCTATTAGCTGAAAATAATAAATGTATCACTTCATCACTCATATTTTTATTTCCTCTTAGATAATCGGAAATAATAAGTCCAAGTTAAGTAGTTCTGTCAGGGAAAGACACTTTTTTTGCATTTAATTTTTATGAAAGTAATTTAGCTTAAGTCGATTTGCCTGATTTATCAAGGCCCTCCAAAGCAATGAATAATCCTCTATTGATCTTTTTTATGGTTTGCTGAATGATTATTTCCATAAATTACCACAAATATTAATAATAACAGTTTATATTATACTTTATAAATATAATGATAAAGTAGACATCAAAAGTTTACGAATCATTTGAGTAGTTTTGTGGATAATAATAATAATGGATAAAATAAGAACATGAAGAAGAGCAAAAATTCATCTAATTAATAAGCTAATAATTGACTTACACTCAAATTATACAAATAGGTTATGGATTAGGAAGATTGAAATTAATCAAAACTAAATTGACATTTGGTAATAGATAATTACTTGTTTTTGAATAATAATAAACATTATAAAAATAAGATGACAACAAAGAAGAATAAAATAAAGTATTTTCAGAAATAAAATAAGAAAATTTTAGATTAAAATAAGGTGATCAAGTGGGCATTTATATATGGTCTAACGTTTTAACTTAATAGAAATTTAAAAATCCTGATGCAGTTGGTGTAATTGATAGATATAGAAAGAACTTAAGAATTATTTTAGAACAAAATTGTAAAATCCCAGATGATAATTCAATTTATGGGATTTGTTTACAGGAAAATCAAGTTACATATAAGAGGTAATTCTTTTGTTCAAATATAGACATTTATAAGTAATTGATGATTTAAAGTAATAATACGAAAAGCATCCAATTATATAAATATTGTTTGGTGATTAAGATGAAAAAATGAAAGAAAAAATAGATTAAAATATGGAATTCTAGGGTGATACAATAAAATAATTAAATGAATAACAAAAGATTGCTGTTCAAAAGGCAATGAATCAACCTCATATTTCTTTAATACATGGTCCTCCTGGAACAGGAAAAACCAGAACTGTTTGCGAATATATTAAATAAGCTGTTTTGGTTCAAAGACAGAAAGTATTTAGTAGATTTTACATTTAATAGATTTTAGCATGTGCCAATTCTAATATTGCAGTTGATAACATGATTGAAAGAATTTAACACATAAGCTAATTGAAGGTTTGTAGGATTGGTAATCCTGCAAGGATGACAGATTAAGTTAGATATGTTTGCATTGATCAATTAGTGAAAAAGACAACAAGTTACGCAATGTATTCAAAATGATAAATTAATATAGAATGAAGACAATAAAAACGGAGATTTAATAGATTGAAAAAAAACTTAATAGAGCTGAGAGAAAAGAGGCAGCTGAACTTAGAGATAAACTGAAATTAAAAAAAAAGGAGTATTTTGAATAGTAATAATTGGCCTATGAGGAAGCTATTTAAGATTGTCAAGTAATATTTAGTACAAACGTTGGAAGTGGTTAATTTCAATTTTAATAACTAACCAAAAATATTAAATTTGATGTTGTTGTTATTGATGAATGTGCACAATCATTAGAAATAAGTTGTTGGATTCCAATTCTTAAAGGAAACAAAGTAGTCTTAGCCGGAGATCATTGCTAGTTACCCCCAACTGTCAAAACAAAAAATACTGGATTGGAAATGACCTTATTTGAAAGAGTTGAAAACGAACTTCGCGTTAACACATTATTAAATGTGTAATATAGAATGAATAAATCTATTATGTAATGGTCATCTTAAGAATTTTATGATGGTCATTTGGTTGCTGATTAAACAGTTGCTAATAGAACAGTAAGTGATACCATATTACTTTTTGTTGATACTTCATGTTGTGATTTTTATGAATAATAATAAGAAAGTTTATTATATTTTGATGATTAAAATAAATCCAAATATAATGTTGGTGAAGCAGGATTAGTGTAAATAATTTCTGAAGAACTGATAAATCTAGGTGTTTAGAAATAAGATATTGGAATCATTACACCTTATAATGCTTAAGTTTAATTATTAAAGTCTAAAATTAATGATATTGAAATTTCAACCGTGGATGGATTTTAAGGAAGAGAAAAAGATTGTATCATAATATCAATGGTTAGATCTAATCAGATAGGAGAAGTAGGTTTCTTATGTGAATCTAGGAGAATGAATGTTGCTGTTACAAGAGCCAAAAAATTTGTTTGCCTTATAGGGGATAGTGAAACTGTTTCTAAAGATCCCTTTTTGAAAAGACTAATTGACTACTTTGTAGAAAATGGAGAATAGAGGAGCGCATAGGAATATTAACACGATGATAAAATTTAAATACCAATAAAAATACAATAAGTCTAATAAGATATAAAGAAAAAGAAAAATACATAACCTAAAACGCAAACTAAAGAGCAAAATAAAAATAAAAATAATAAAATTGAAGATTAATAAAAAGCCCCAAATCTTGTTTAATAAGAATAAGATTAAAATATTATATCTTAAGTTGAATAATAGGTTCTTAATTTTATAAATTCAAATGATTCAAAACTTATTTTAAAAAAGTAAAATGGTTTTCAAAGAAAAGAGCTTCATGAATTAGCAGAAAAATATCAATTACATCATGAAAGTATTGGTAATGATAGATTGAAAACCTTAAAATTAACTAAAACATAAAATTCTAAATAATAACAAAATTTAGATGATTAATTCAATGACTAACAATAGGGCGAAGCAATCGATTAGAAAATATCCTAACATCAAAATTAGGATGATGCAATAGTTGATTAAAGCTAAAAATTAGAAAAAAAACAAGAATAATAACAACAAGAGTTGTAATAAAAGTAATCATAATAATAATAACAACAATAATAATAATAATAGTAATAACAATAACAATAATAGTAATAATAGTAATAACAAAAATCATAATAACAATATTAATAATAGCAACAATAACAATAATAAAAATAATAACAACAATAATAAGAGAAGTAACAAAAATAAAATTCTTAATAATAATAAGAGAAAAAGTAAAATAATAAAAATAACAAAAAAACTCAAGAGTAAAGGGAAAAAGAAGAAGAAGAATTTTTTAATTCTATCATTATAAAAGACGAGAAAAAATGTTCCTTTATGTCCAATAATATTCAATGTAGTTAAAGTATATAATGGTTGAATTAAAAATGTAAATTTTGTAATAATTCATTTTGTCAATATCATGCATATGCTGAAAGGCATGGATGCGAGGATGAAGCCTGTAGATAAGCCAAGTAATGAATTACAATAACTAGATTATAATTTTAATCCGAAGGCCTAAAAACAGAAAAGAGTAGGGCTGCCATTTTAGAAAAAATAGCCGAGTAGTAGAAGGCTAGAGGGAAAAAGTAGAAAAAATGAGTTTATTAAAGTTATATAAATAATAATAAATGAATTTATAAAATTATAATCGAGAAGGTCGTAATTATAAAACTGAGAGGGTTAGATAGATATCACCCTCTTCAAAATTAATGCATTTGAGCAATCAAGAGATTAGCTTTTATATTTCTAAATATGGGGATCCTTAGGAAAATACAAAGGATTCTGAAAACACCAAATATTTTATGTCTTTAATTTAGCCATTACTTGAGGAGAATTATCAATTAAAAGATACAATACTAAATCTTACCGAAGCTTTGAAATGTAACATTGATTTAATTATTTAGTGGATAAGGAACTTCTTTTAGAAACAATCAGTTAAATTGTTAAAGATAAAAATTTATCGTCTTCAAGCACAATTAGTGAAATTTTGCATTAGTTGACATTAAGTGTAAAAAAAGATAGAGATTATACAAGAAAATTAGAAGAGATAATTGAAGAAAAGGATCTTTTGATAGAATAGTTGTAAGGCGAAATTGAATAATATAAAAAATGGAAAATCGATTTCATTTAAGAAAAAAATTTGGAAGTGGAGGCTAGAACAAGAAATTTTTTTTAAAAAATGCAGCAATTAGAAGAAAATAATTCTAAATTATGTTTAAAGAATAATGAGACTGTAGAATTGTTAATTGCTGAATAATAATTAACTCAATGCTTGAATGAAAAATTATCAAAGTTTGTTGATGACTTGAACAAGGCTCAATAACAAAAATAGGAGGTATTATTTTTTGTAAATTAGTTACAATTATAACTTAGTATTGCTGAAAGATAGATCTATTAAGAAAAACAAGATAGTTAGAAAAGGTTAAATGATTAAATAAGTTAACTACATAAAGATCATTATTAATAAATGGAATAATTGAAAAGTAATTATTGAATTAAGGTTTAGTTGAATAAATGGGCATCGTAAATGAATTGAAGAAATAAATAATAAATTAATAGGAGGAAATAAAAAATTTAGAATTAAGTTACACTGCATCCTTAGACAAAAACCTTAACGAAATTAAAGTATCATTATCTCTGATTTTATAGAGACTTTAATAATAGCTCTAAGATTCAGAGAAGCAAATATCAGTTTATAAAAAATAAGAATTAGCAAATTTAGATAATTTGAGTAAAATTATGATGGAGAAGAGAGATAAAGATTAAAAATTAAAGAATTTAGGCCAAATAATTGCTGAGAAAGACAAGCAAATAGATAATCTAACTTTAGATGTACTGTCATTAAAATCCAAATTAGAACAAGCTGAATTGAAATGTACTTAGTAAATTACGAAATACAAGTAAATTACAATTCTTTAATTAGATAAAAATATAAAGAAAAAACATAGGTAAAGATTTGTGAAGCAAAGAAGGATTTAGAGCATAAAATTGTAACAGTAGAGTAGGAGAAAAAAAAAATGAGTGAAGATTTCAAGTAGTAAATAATTATATTGGATGTTCAAAAAACTTCATTAGTAAAGGAATGTAAAGCAGATAATGAAAAGTTGAGAGATGAGATTGAAGATTTAGAATTCAAATTAAAAGACTTGGATAATATGTGGGATTTCAAGTACGCAAAATTAAAAATGGAATATGATAGATTAAAGCTGGAGTTAGCACAATAATAATGAAATTATGATTTCTCATTTTTAATTTTAACTTTGGGTATATATTATAAAATAAAACAAAGAAAAGAACCAATCAGATTATTAATAGTTTAAATCTTAAATAGTAAAATAATATTTACTCATTTTCTATTTTTTTATTCTAGTTTATTATTTTATTTGTTATCGAGTAAAATCTTTAGACATTCCAAAAATAAATCTTTTATCTCTTATTTAGGAGCATCTAATTCTAGATTTCTCTTAGCAATAATAGTAATCCCAAGTGTCTCCTTTCCTTTTCTATATTTTTTAAACTTTTCAAAACCTGATCCAAGAGCACTGTCTTTTATTTCTTTAATTTAAGAAATTTAAATGGATTTTTTATCTGAAGTATTCTTTTAATCAAAAGGTTGTAATTCTTCTTTCCATTTGATATATTATTCATTTTCAGTCAAATAAATAATCTTTATATTTGGCTTTCTTTACCCTTCAGAATATTTAATCATGGAAAAACCTTATTTTAATTAAAGCAATGCATGTTATAATTTAGTTTATTAATTAATTTGAATCATTTGCTTTGGTAATATTCCTCTTAATTCAGGTGATTAGTGTGATTATAATTGTATATTACTGCTCTAGGGTATTTCAGAAAAATGATCAGAGTTTTTAAAATTCAATGTGAACTATTATTATTATTGTTATGGTTATTGTTATTTTTAATCCTATTCCATCCATGGAATTATGTGGGATAGTTGCTCCTTTAATTTCTTATATTCTATATTGATTTCTTAACGGAAGGGTCTTTCAAATAAGCTATTCTCAAACAATCTCCTAATTAATTAAATAACTTAAATTACTCTTAATTTATACTGACATTTTTTCTTAGGATTGACCATAAAGATAAATCAATCTTTGCAAATTCTTAATGATTTTCCAAAATTACAATTAATTTACCCTCCTTATAATGAATTGTAATTTATAAATCATTTTAATAAGTGACATCTAAAATTTAAGAAATATTCAGAATCATTTTATTTTCATCAAGATATGAAGGAGATAAGATTATTTAATCATCAACAATGACAAAGACTCCTTACTCTATTTCTTCATCATTTACTTTGTTTAAAATTACATTTGTATTTTATTTAACTGTATATTGAACTCTCTAAATACAATATGTAGAATTAATTAAACTGATCAATTATCGTTAATCTTTAGACTTCTCATGTATATCCTGCTCTAGCTAAGTAATTTACTCATTTAGAGACTCAATTTTACTCAATAGTCTTGAATTTTGCATCTACAATAATCGTATTTCGTTTTATTTAATATCTTCTTGCAACTCTTCAACATTTTCTTCATTTTAATATTTTAAAGAAGAATTAGAATTTTCAACCTTACTATTAAATTACTTATTGGATTGGAATATTTGATACAAATCATGAGATTCTTATAAATTTTTTTCCAAAAGAGTTGTTAAACCTTAGAGCAAATTTTAAATTTCGTCTGTAGGTAATTAAGTAGGTTATTTTTATTGATCATACTTTGGTTGAGGAATGTTGTTTTGAAGAATCTCCTGTAATGGAATTTTGTTGTCATTTACATTTGTAGTTTCAAGAGCCTATTGGAAATCCTTAATTTAATCGATTTATGTTGTACATCTGTTAGAAATGCGTGCTTAACTTAAAGTAGAAAATTATTTAATTCAGTTAACTGATTTGTTTTAATGAGCTTCTTTGAGTTTAACATATAAATATTTAATTTATTGTTTACAATGCAATAAAAGGAAAGAAAATCAAGGGATTTATCACTTTGATTTTTTTTGGACTGAAATGAATTAATTGCAATAAAAAATTTCATGAAATCATAAGTCATCAGGAACTTCAAAAAAGATGCCTAAATCATAAGGAAATTTTTAATCGCGAATAACTTCATAGATTGGTACTAATTGTTATTTCTTGATGTTTAATTCCTTTTTTTGTTTTTCTAACTCTTACATTTCTTTTTCGTTTTATTCATTTATTTTTTATATTTCTTTCTCATAACTTTCTACTTGCAAATGTCTATTATATAATTATCTTAATTCTATAGCCCTTATTTATTCGTCTAGAATTTAGTGATCCGAAATAAATTAAGAAAACTTCTCATGCGCTTTGTTGATGAAATCTATTTCTTGCTTATTCATCAGTATTATTTTTATTTTAAATATTGCTTGATCTTAAGGATAATTATACTATTTATAATAGCAAATAATTCAAAATGAATAAAAAACCTTTACTTCCTAGACAAACTAAACCCACTTCTTCATCTCCGCCTTCAAATTCGGGGAACACTTTACTAGACCGTATAAAGAGTTTAAATTAGAAACAATCAGACCAAGTGAAATAATTAACACATACTTCATCTTTCACAACTGATCGTGTAAAAAATAGAACAAGAGCCAATTATTCTGAATACTTTGATTCGAGGAAATTGCCGTTTAATTCGACATTGTAACCATCTAGATCCAGCTCTTGTAAAAAAAAGAGGCACTTTTATGATGAAAAAGTAGAAAGTGATGGCAAAGTCTCCTAATTGGAAGATTAAAATCTGTAAATCAATGATTTCATCGCAAATATTCCATTATGTAAATTAACTAAAGATGAACAAATAGAAAAATTAGAATTAGAAAAATCAAATCTACACAAGTTAACAGCAGGTTATTAGAAAAAAGCTGAGGAAAGAAAAACCATAATGAAATAGTTGTATAGCATTTTGAAGACTAAAGATCAAGAAATAGAATACTTGAGGAAGAATTACGAGAATTAAATTCTAATTTAATAACAAAAATTGGAATAATTTAAACATGAGTGTCATTAATAATTAGATAAGGCAGATAGTCGAATAATAAAGTTGGAAGGAAACCTATAAAATGCATTATAATATAAATAGAAAAGGTTAAACGATTTATTAGTTAAAGAAGAGAAAATGAGAGATATTCTATCCAAACTAATTAAAAAGCAAGAAAGCAAAGAAAAGATAGATGAAGTTAAGAATATTTTAGCATTTATTGCCAGAGAAAAATCTAGATTTGAAACCCCAAAAAAATAGAATTCATAACATGAGTAAATAGATAATATATAGAATGAGCATCAAAAATTAGTATCTTTACACGAAAATGTCATGCTTTAAATAGAAAAATTAAACTATTAAGTATCATAATGTTTATAAACATCTTAATATGGTTAAAAGGATACAATTAAAGAACTTTCATAAAATCTCAAAGAAATGATTAATTAGTTTTCTTTATCTAAAAATACTTTAAAAGATAAGGACTAAAAATTAATTTAATTATAAAATGATTTGATGAAATATAAAAAACTAGTTGAAAATAAAAAAGATATTGATACCTAAAAGTATATCTAAGTGATTAATGAATTGAAATTGGAGTCAAGTAATTTAGAAAAAAAATATTAATAACTTGTCATACAAGAAAAGTTTGGAGAAGAAAACAATTAAGAGTTATAGAATCTCAATGATTAGTTGAATGTTTAAATAATTAAGTAATAATCTTAGATATAACTGTTGCATAAACAGATTGACGATTAAAACAAAGTCATGATGACAAATGAAAAAATTATTTAGTAATATTAGCAAAAGGAAAAATAATTGTATGAAGAATTAGACAATCAAAAGGAGTAATAGGAGGAAATAAACAAATTGAAAATTTCATTAATTTCATTAAACAATCAAAAAGATCACCTATTAGAAAATATTGAATAATTATAGAATGAAATAATCTCAAAAAATGATGTAATCAATCAGGCTGAAAATTAAATTAATTAATAAATTAGATAGTTAAATAAAGGACAATAAGACTTAATTAAATATGAAAATTATAATGAAGAATTATAACAGAGAAATAAGATTTTGTAAGAAAGATTAAAAAAAGCAGAAGATAATAACCTATAATAAATATTACAAGATAAATTGTAAGATATAAACAATAAATTAGAGTTGTTGAAAAATGAAAACGAGAGTTTGTCTCATCAAATTTAAATTTTACAAGATGAAAAAGATAAATTTTTTGAATAACTCATTCAATTAATCAAATAAAAGTAAAATAATCTTTTATATAAATCTTAATCTCCTAAAAATGCAATTTCAAGATAAAGCAGTAAATTTGGAGATTAATTATTTATTTCTGATGGTAATAATAAATAAATATTAAAATTTTAATCTGAATTAGACAAATTTGACGAAATCATATCATAAATTTCTTCAAAATTGGTTTAGGTTGAATAACAAAAGAATGAGTTTAGAAATTTAAATTTAGAATAATAAAAATAGAATTCATAATATCTATTGTAAATATCTAATTTGGAATAGGATAATAAAAAGTACTCTTAAATGCTATAATAATGGCATTAGCAAATGACTGGCAATATCTCAGTTAATTTGGATTAAAATTAAGATATAATTAAGCTTGTAAAATAAGAATTAAAAAAATTGAAAAAATTGGAGGATGAATATTAGTAATTAAAGCAGATTAATTCAAATTTAACCTTAGCCTAGGAAGAATTAAATTAGGAAATAGAAGAAAAGAATCAATTGTTAGAACAAAATAAATAATAGTTGGAAATAGAATAAGAGTAATTATAAAATGCTATTAAAGAAAACTTGGAACTCAAATAATAGAACTAAGCCTAAAAGTTATTAGAAGTTAATAAATAACTGGAATTATAAATTGAAGGTTTAAAATATAAAGAAAAAGAATATCAAGCCAAATTAGAAAGTTTGAAAACTTAGATTGAAAACTAGGATAAAAAGTTAAATTAGAATCAAAATCTCATCTAATAGCTAAATGATAAAGAGAACAGTCATAGCTAAATAAATTCATAACTTCAAAGTAATGTAAATGATTATCTTAAACAAATTTAAGAGAAATCACAAGAAGTTGAAAAATTTAAGATGGATTTACTATCTTCTGAAAATAGAGTAAGATAGTAAGAATTAATAGCAAATGAACTTAAAAATGAGATTATGCTTTTAACAAATGAAAACAATAATCACAAAACTCAATAGTAATAAATATAAGAACTATAATAGAATTTATAAACTTAAATCAACTTAAATTAAGATTAATTAGTTTAAATTCAAAAACTGAAAGACGATTTAAATTAACTAAATAAGCAAATAGCTTAAAAAAGTGAAGAGTTAGATTCGTAATCTCTAGATATCAATTAATAAAAAGAACTTCTATAATAACAAATTATCTCATAATAAATTTAATTGAAATAATTGGAATAGTAAATATTGGAAAATGAAACAATTATTACAGAATAAAGTAAGAAGCTGAATGAAACTAACTAAGATTTAGAGCAATTGAAATTAGATCTAAATTAGGTTGAAATAGAGAAGGGAAAATTATCTTAGTAATAAGAAGATAATTTAATTTAAATTAGTGATTTGTTATAAAAAATAGAATTAGGCGAACAGCAGAGTTAAAAATTAAAAGATTAGATTGAATAATAGGAATAGAGATTATAAGATACTATTGCTGAATTATAAATCAAACAAGAAGAAATTAATGAAATGGCTATGAAAGATCAGGCAAGTAAGTTTGAATTAGACTGCTTAAAAGCAAAATGCCTTTCTTATGAATTGCAGATCGAAGATCAAGAAAAGTTGATTTCTCAATAAAATAACTAAACATAATAGCTATCTTAAATTTAGGAACAGCTTTAAGATTTATAAAAAAATAATGAAGATTTGTAACAAAATTTGAATGACAAAGATTAAAATTATGATATTTTGTAGAATGCCTATTATGAAATTGGTGATTAGAAAAAAAATTTAGAAGAAGAAATTGAAGACAAAAACTAAGAGATATCTATATTAAGTAGGGATCTAAAAATTTACAAGGATTAAATTGATCAAAATAAGGCTCTAATAAATTAATTACAAGAGCAAATAACCTAATTCAGAAATAGTGCAAATATCAACTTTGCTGAAAATTGTAAACTGAATGAGTAGGTATAAATGATGAAAAAGGAATTAGAAAGTTATTAAATTGATTCTAAATAAAATTTAGATGAAAGAAGTGATAAAATTAAGGATTTGGAATAACAACTTATAGATTTGCAAAATGAATTAGAGAATTAATAATTTCAAATTTAATATAAAGATTCTAAAATAGAAGAATTAAACAACAGTTTATAAGAAACATCTGAGAATTTAGATGATGTAAAATAAGAATTAGAAATAACCTCTAGACAATTGAAAAATGAATAAGCACAAAAAGAAGAAGAACTTAAATGCAAATAACAATTAGAAGGTATTATACAATAATAGAAGTTTGAAGTGTAATAATATATCTAAACAACAAATTAACAATAAGAAAATTTACTAGCTTTACATAATAAAATAATCGAATACTGTAAAGAAATAGAAAATTTGAAAAATTAAATTTCATCATTGTAAATTGAACGTGAAAAATAACAAAAAGAGGTGGAAGTCGTAAATGAAAACTTAAATCAGGCCAATGCTTTACTTGAAGATTAAAAATCAAATTTAGAGAATTCAGAATTTTAAATCAATTATTTTTAAACCCAATTTAATGAGATTAAAATTTAAAAAGATTAATTAGAAGAGAAATTGCAGGATTTAGAATAAGAAAATGAAATACTAAACAGAAACTAATCCAATAATGCATAGAAGTTAGAATAAATCTAAAATGAAAAATATATTTTATAATAAGAGATATAGCAATTAAAGTAATCGCTCGCGACTTTATTTGAAGAAAGATAAAATAATTAAGACAGAATTTAAGAATTAATCTTTACGATTGAGTTATAAAAATCTGAGGATGCAAAAAAAGAATAAAAAATAGAGTAGATTGCAAATTAAGAACGTGATCTACAGAAACATCTAATTGAGCTCTAAGAGTAAAATAAAAACTATCAATAAAATATTGAATCAATCTAAATCTAATTGAAAGATGAGTAGCTTATTAAAGAGAAGTTAAAATAATAAAATGAAATAGATTAAAAACAAATAGATGAACTTAAAAATATTGAAATAGTCTAACTAAATCAATAGATAGTTAATTTACAGGAAAAAATTACCTTCCTAGAGTAAAATGAAATTTAAACTTCAGAATTAAGTAGTCGACTAGAAAACTTAAGATAAGAGAAATAAATTAAGGATTAATAAGAGCAATTATTTAAGGAGGAAAATGATAAACTCAAAGAGTAAATAAATAACTTTTAGAACTAAATAAATTAATTAGAAAGGGATAATATTACAAATGAATAAAATCATCATTAGCTGCAAGAAGAGATGAAAGCAATTGAAATAAAATATGAATAACTTAAGATACAGGAACAATAATTAAATTAATTGAACCAAGAGAAAGATGAATAAATTTCAAATCTAAAAGTAATACAGACTGATTTTGATCAAAAGTTAGAATAATTGAATAATGAAATAAAAGTTTATTAAGAAGAAAAATAGATTTAGGAGAACAAAATATCATAATTGAATGAGTCATAATTACAACTTGAAAATCAAAGAGAATCTTTATCTTAGGAACTTGAATAGCTTAACGAGTAAATAAAGGACTTAAAGAAATAGATTGAAATTAACTCTAGTTAACAAAATGAAAAAATTGATTAATTAACAAATTAAGTATCTCTATTGTAATAAAAAAATGAGGAATAAGAGAATTAGATAAAAGAATTGAGTTTGTAGAATGAAGAATTATAGGATTAATAATTGTAATTTATGGAATAGTTACAAACCGAGAAACAAGCTCACAATACTCAATTATCTGAAAATCATCAATTATAAGAAAAATTGTAGAATGAATTGGAAAACGCCCAATAATCAAAAGATTAGGTGCAAAGATTAGAATAAGAATTATAGTAACTGTAGTAAGCATTGTTAGATAAGGATGAAAGTTTAGTTAGATGGAGAGAATAATAATGTAGTAGTTAATATATCTAAAATGAATAAATAGGTTAATCATAAAATACTGAACAAATAGATAAAGAAAATAATAATGAATCTGAAAAATTGAATAAAAGAATAATGCAAGAATCCTTGTCAAATCCTCTAGAAGACTAAGACAATGATTATAAAGTTGAAATGAAGGAACATGATAATTCTAGAATTTTTGATTTAGAATTTGATGAAAAAAGTGGCACTCAGTAGTAGAACATATTGCCAGCAGTAAGTGAGAATGTAAGTGAAGCATATGATTTAGCAATAAAAAGGAGTATGGGACTCTCAAAGGATTAAATTATATAACAATTACAAGATTAAAATAAATTATTGTAATAATAAATTGAGAACTTGAATTAAGAAAACATAATTTATGAATCTCCTAGCCAAAATAAGGCTTTAATAGAAGAGTTATAATAATAAATCTAATAACTAAAAAATTAATAATTACAAAGAATTATTCAGTCTCCTTTATAAGTATTGATTGGAGAGCATTTAGATGATGAAAAAGATGAATTAAATTAATAGGAAAAATATCATTTATTATGGGAAAAGTGTACAGGCTTAGAGTTAGAAATCTAAACGATTTTATTTGAAAGCAAAGAAACTCATAAAATAAATGAATAATTGAAGAAGGAAAATGACAGTTTATTATTGTAAATAAACGTCTTAAATAAGACTGTTAAGGTTTGGCAAGAAACAACAACAAATATCCATTAATAGCATGATTAAAAATAATTAATAACATTTAGTGTATTACAAAAGGTTCTCAATCAAGAATAGCAATGGGCATCATAAATCAATTAGATTGGACTGAGTTCAGAATGCGAATCAATCCTTAGATAGGTTTGCTAAACAGTCTAAGGAGTTCCTGCTCTTCAAAAATAACTTGATGATATTAAAAAATAATTAGATAAAGAGAAATAGGAAATTAATTCATTGATTAATGAGAGATGTGTATTAAGCCAATAGATAATTGATATCACCAGTCAACATGAGAATTCATCAAGACGCAATAAAATGAGTGAACCGAACAGTGCATTAAAGATCAATTAATCTATGGATGAAGAGGATCAAAGTTTAAATATTAAATAGCTTATTGTCAAACTCAAAAGAGAATTAGAAATTTTGAAGATTGAAAATCATTAATTGACTTTGTAATTGAAGCAGCATGAATAAAATGAAGAAATTTATATGGTAATTAAAATTATAATAAATAGAAACAAAACAAGTTGATGAAAGATGAGAATAGATCATTAAGTGAGAAATTGAATTAGATGTCAGATGAACTATAAAAGATGGCAGAAAAAGTTTCTAATTCAGAAAATGGGGCTTTGGCTGAACATCTTAAGAAGAATATCTAGAAGTTCTTTGAAGCTTTGCAATAAGAGTAATTTATCATATTTAAAGTAGAAAAAAATAAGAATTTCAGTCTTATGCATCTCATCTGTTAAAATTAAGTGGAGTTTAATTTGAATAGCAAATATGTGAAACTTTAATTATCAAATTAAGTTCTGTAATTGATAAAAAGAAATCAAGTGGAGTATTTGGAATGTTCAAGTGATTTTAATTAATATATGTGGTCAAAATGTTTTGATGCTGATTTTCTATGATGTTTATAAATATTAATTAATACTTTTTTCATAAATGAGTAATAATGAAGATAAGAAATAAATTGAAAGACTAGGAACAGCCAGCACAATGTGTCAAACCTTTTAATAATCTCAATTTTAACAATAATATTAAAAACGAGCTGATTTCACTCAAGTAAATCTTTTCCCCAAAAATATCAAAATTGATTTGAATCACAAGTAGAATACTCGATACTCTCGCCAAGAATATGGGAATGAATCAGAAGATCAAAGATAAGATTTACTATAATCGTAACATAAACAATAATAAAACATAATTCAACAACAGAATTCGTAATTAAAACAAAAAAAAATATAAATAAAGCTATAAAATGAATCTTAAAACCTAATTGAGGATCGGTAAGAAGACTTTAATAGTGTGTATGATGATGAAAATTTAGAATCCCCTATTCCAATATAAAAAAAGAGCAAGGGAGAACATCTTTATGTCAATTGGTACAATATATTTGAATTTTAGTTAGATGTAGGCTTTAAGTGAAATCTTAGTTAAATATAACATAAAAGAGATAAATCAGCCATATTTAAAAAAAAAAACATAAGCAAAATGTTGTTGTTTCACAATTACAACTAAATAATCACTTTATTAGAGTTAAAAACAAATCATTATTGAAGAAGGAAGAAAGCATTATGATGAAAAAGATATCAATCATTGTAATCTTCTATGCTCCATTCTCTATGAAATGTTTCAATAAGAGAAACTAACTAAAAAAAAGTCATAGGAAATTGAAGCCAAATAAACAACAGTCTTTTAGTTGATTTATACACTATCTTGTATTACATTATTTAAGGATGATTTATTATAATTTACAAAAAACGATAAAGAGAAAGTTATGGGAAACCTTTTTATTATATCAAAATATATATTTGAGATCCTTTTAAATGGGATTCTGGATCCAATTTTTAAACAATCAGACAGCAATGGCGAAACACTTCATAACACTTTGACTTCAATTCATATGGGTATGTTTCTGATGGTTTGCTTGGATAATTTAAATTAAGAATAAGAAATAATCTAAAATTTGCAAAATAAAAATATAAAATCACTAATAGATCTTTGGAAACAAAAAAAATATTAAAATAACTGAAACTTATCAATTTTGATTTTATAAGACTTAATTAATTTATAGTTTTTTAATTTCTATTACAATAATCAAGAGATTGTTGGTTGTCAAATTCAAAATTTGAAACCTGCATGCTCTGTAAGTGATAACTAACTTTATAATTGATATTTATTGTAATAAAATTAATGCATTAAATTAGAATTTTAAGTGCTTTTTATTGTTTTTTAATGGATTAAGCAATTTTATTAGTATTTAAGTTGGAACTGATTCTATATTAGGATTTGTGTAGATATAAAATGGTTCTTTTTCAAATGCGAATTATTATTATTATTATTATCATTATTATTATTTATTAAATAAATAAATATTTATATATATGCTGTATTATATAATTATATTTATAATATTTTAACTAGATAGATTTGCAATTGTAAATTAAAATGTATATTTTTAACAATCATTAAATGGTTTGTTCTTAAAATCAGAAATTCGAGATATAGCTGTTGAGAAGTTGAAAGAATACGAATTATGATGTGTTTTTTTTGATAATTACTTATATTTATTTAAAATGAGCTGTGATGAAGACTTCATCTTTGATCCTTAGAACGATGATTAACTTTGTTTTATTTAGGGAAATTAGTTTCTGGATGACCTTTTAGATTAAAACAATTAATTAAAGTTTGAATGTGAATAACTTGGAGATATGAAGTATAATAGAGGAAATTCTTTTAGTTTTTAAGAAGAATTCAATGATATATCTGATAATTTGGAAGCTGTTTAGAGATTGTCATCTACAAATAATTTTGCCATCGAATTTGATTCAAGTTTGATAAAAGAAAAATAGATTTTCAATAATCAATATAAATTGGAAGATTGTACCTGTGAATCCAGAAGTAGAAGTAGAGAGATTGAAAAAAATGTAATCAATTAGTTAGAATAGAGTTTAGACTGGGAAAATAAAAAAATGGACCCAAGATGAAAATGATTTACTAGCAAATTTGTATTATTAATTTAATGGAGATTGGCAGAGGATTGTTGAAAGAATGTCAGGAAGAACCATGGCATAATGCAAATAGTATTGGCAGAGAAAGCATAAGCCTGAATAACCCTAGAAAAGCAAATGGACTCCGGAAGAAGATTAATTAATTTTAGACAATATAAATAAGGAAGAAAACAATTGGGCAGTTATAGCTACAAGTAAATAATATATAATATGTTTGCAGTATTAAAAAATAAGACAGGCAAACAAATAAGGGAGAGATACATAAATAAATTAAGGTCAGATATTGTAGATGTCAAGAAATAGCCATGGTCTGATTAAGAGGATCAAAAATTATTGTAGTTATATAATTAACTTGGGTCTAAATGGGCTTAGATAGCTCGGCATTTTTTCGGGAGATCTGTATAAACTATTGCTTATTTCTAGGATTTGTAGATCAAAAATAGAACTAACAAATTATTAAAAACTTAAAGTGGCACACAACTATAATAAGAAAAGCCAAAATTGCAAGTATAGGATCTGAATCTGGATGGTTATCTAGAAATAGATAAGACTTGTGAAAAATCTCAAAATAAACCTAAGTTTGAATTTCCATAATATAATTCTTAAACAGTCTCTTCTCAATTAATTCAATGAAATGACTTTTATTTATTTATAATCCTCTTGTATGCAAAACAATTTTGTGATTTATTAAATTCATAAGATTAATAAGTTTTATAATTTCTTTTATTTTCATTAAATTTAATAATATAATAAAAACAATGGCATATTACGGAGTTGGATTACCCACAACTATTTAAGAATTGGTTTTTAGATTTAGAAATCATGTTTGCAAAGCCAATCCTTATTGTACGTTATCAAGATTAAAGTATTAAGAAAGTCATTGAATATTAGAGCAATATTTTAATAATATGACAAAAATGGTAACGGAAAACTAAATCTAGAAGAATTAGATAACCTGTTAAAGAGTGTTGGAATGTTCTTAAAAATTGTTGAATTGCAAGCACTAATTAAATATTTTGATAAAGACGGAGATGGGGTTTTGAGTTTTCGAGAATTTCTAACTTTTATAAGAGAAGAAATGAATGAAAGAAGAAAAGCTATGGTACTCAAAGTATATGAGAGTTAGTAGAACACCAGAATCACATCAGATTATTTAAGTAAGATTAAAGCCTATAAAACTAGGATAAATTTATAAGATTGATAATTTAACAGATGGAATGAAGACATTTATTGATAATATTCGTGTGGGTGATGAATTAAGCTATGAATAATTTTTGGAATTTCATGAAGAACTATCGTTAAATATAGCCTCTGATGAAACCTTTACATCTATTTTATCTAAAGCTTGGAATATTGATGAGAAGCAAGAAGACACTGCATTCTAAGAATATTTATAGAATAGTTTATAATAGATTAAAGAACGAGTTATTACAAGAGCAGGTGGTAAACCCTTTGTTGTCAATGTTTTTAAAGAATTTGACACTAATAAATCTAAAGATCTATCGATTAGTGAATTCATATTTTTACTAAAGAAAGTAAATTAAATTATTGAATTTCTTAGCTTGAATTGGATTGGAATAAGGCAGTAATCAATAGAGTTTATAGAATTATGGATCAAAATAATAGTGGATCAATAGAAGAGTAAGAATTCATTAGTTTTTTTTAAAATTGATAAAATATATTAAAAATATCAATAATAATATAGAATCTTTATACTTATCCTAATATCTACAGTATTATTACTATTGATATTATGAAATCTGATTGATTTTATAATTTCAATTTATATATATTGCTAGATTGCAGTTTTGATTGATTTGAAGTATAGAAATGAAATCTTCAATTTTCTCAATATCAAAATTGTAGTAATAATATATTATCTCAAAACTTCTTCAACAATCTCTTATAAGGAGTCATTTAGTAACCAAAGAAATTTTAGACGATTTTGAATGTTTTGAACAAAGAATTTATCAAGGAAGTTTAAATTTATATTGATTGTATTTTAATTAATTAGATAATTAAAAATTCAAAATAAGAATGTTAGCAAGTAGTGGCAAAAGTAGAATCCTTAATGAAGATTAATGCAAAATTCACAATAATGCTTTTGATTGTGTAAGCTTAAATAATACAGACAGGAGATAAACATTTAAAGCATGTGCACTTTGCAAATAATAAAGAACAAAGGAATAGTTTGTCACTTATAAAGAGATATAAAATAAACTATAAACATAAATCTCAAATGATTTAGTTGGAGAATTCAAATTAAAAATGACTCCATTATTTAATGAGACAGAAGAATTAAGAACAAAATTACTATAATTAGCAGATGATATTCATGAGATCTTACTCAAAAGCATCCATTCATTATTTGTTAATTGTTTATTTAAGTAATTGCCTAATAATCTTTTCACAACTGATGACATATTCGAAGTAACAAATACTAATTATCGAATTCTAGTTGGTGAATCCAAAAACTATTGATGACTTTACTTCGATAATTGATCAATAGATTTCATTTTAGAGAGGAGATGAATTAAGTGCAGGTTTATTGGCTAAAGTGCTCTTTAATGATTAAGAGTCGATGCAATTTTTAGATGCTTTAACTGAAACATCAGGAGTGAAATAGAAATTGGAGAAAGTTCATAGTGATTTTGTTTAGCATAAAAATGAAATTTCGAAGAGGATAGAATAGATGAGTAAACAAGTATAGATCATAAATCTTATTTGATTTTAGAGCGTAGTAGAGAAACCTAAAGTAGATTTAAACGAACCTGTACTCTAATTCTTAATTGAAAAAAATAAACAAGAGTAAGATAATTCAGTGGAAACTATAAAAGGAGTAATATTATATGAGTATAAACAAAGTTATAAGGGGAGAAGGACTTTCTAATTGAACCAAATCAAGAGGAGAAGTAAGAGCATCCTTAAGTGAAATCGATAATCTCTATTAATTAACAACTTCTTGCTTATAGTTCTGAAACAAGGATATTAATATTTGACAAAACAAAAAATTTTTCATTTGTTTAATAGTTAGATTGCGAAAGTGATATTTCAGCTTTACGTTCAGTTACATTAGAAGATAATAAAACTTATATAATTGCAAGGTATAATAAGGATAATAATAAGTGTTGAAGAAAATGAGGAATCATTTTAGTTATAATTTTGGGATTGGGAAAACTTTGAAAAATGGAAAGTCATTAATGCTCACAATAAGTATATTTGGTAGATCATCAATTTACCTAAAAATCTAATAGCATCATGTTCAGAAGATGCAGTAAATATCTATTTTTATTTAAGACTATTAAAATTTTTGATGCTTAAAACTAAGAATAATTGTAGCAAATTGATGTTCATTAGGCAAGTGTCAATGACATAGCTTTAATAACTCCAGACATAATAGTCTCAGTATCAGATGATTGCACTCTAGTAGCTTCAAATTATTTGAATGGAGATTTAGTAGGAATAGTTGCTCAGGATAGTGAAATTAAGTCAGTGATTGCCTTAGATGGAGTTAGATTTGTTACTGGAAATAGTTCTGGAGAAGTAATAGTCTACACATTTATTTAATCAATTGAAATTTAGTAAATTATTAAGGTTCATGATTCTGTAGTTAGATTTCTTAGTAGAATAGACTAAAAGTAAATAAATTTTATCAAATTCTATTAGGTTATTTGTAACTTCCTCCTGGGATGGCACTCACAAATTCATTTCTCTTACTGATGGAGAAATCAAAGCTATTAATGGTCCAAAAAAGAATTTCTCTGAACCCCTTCTTTGGATTTAAGATATCGGTTGTCTTGTAGCCTCAGCAGGTGGAATTCTACAAAAATACAAATGATAAATAATTAAAGTATTTTAGGAAATAAATAAATATTAATTAGTCAATTGTCTTGTTTACTTAAACAAAGTTTAGAGGTTTAAAATAACTTTTAGTTAATAGAGAAGTTGAGTTTATATAAATGTTCTTGGTCTACACAATTATTATCGTGTTCCATATTATTTAGTTGAAATTCGTCATCATAATCTAATTGAATGTTTTTTTGATAAGACAATGTTTTAGATGGCATTCGAATTTTATCTTGCGGAATACAATCCTTATCATTAGATGTTCTAGATTATGAACTTTACTCCTGTTATTTTTAATAATCTTAACTCTTTCTACTAATTGGCACACTCAATATTGAGATGGTTCTATTTTTATAGCCATTATTTTGAGGAGTAGTTTAGGTATTAGCTTGGCTGACATAATTGACACCTTGATCCATTTCCATACTAGCATTGATGTGTGTATTGATTTCTCCTTTGGCAATGATGTCATGATATTATTTAGATACAATTTATTTGGGTAATTGAATTTAACAAAAAAATGGGGTCTAAAAGAATGGGTGATTTAATGCTTCTGATATAGTAATCCTATCTTTAGGATATTTCTTTGTCATTTAACAGATTAGATTCTCCACTAATTAATATTAATAAAGGGGTATTTACATGATTTAGGATATTTAGATGAGGGTATTTCAAAATATCCATCAGTATTTTTTTTAATGGTTTATTTTAAATCGTTTTGTTTAAATGGATTATAACCATAGAGAACAACAAATAAAGTAATTCCTAAACTAAAAATATCGCATTATTGATTGTATATCTTTTTAGATTCATCATATTTCAATACTTCTGGGGCTGAATAGCTATAAGAAAATAGCGAAATTTAATACCCTGGACTTCCACATTAAGGAAATGGCATATTCTTTTACCATGTAAATGCTGCCAATCCGAAATCAATTAGAACAGGGTTCTGAATGTTGTTATTTTTTAATAGGATGTTTTGTGGTTTAATATCTCGATGCATTACTTTTTATTAATGTATCTATTCAATTGCGCTGAGAAGATGGATTATCATTATTCTTAAATCGTCGGAGGAGTAAATCTTTTTTGAGGATTGCTGCGATACCAACTCTGGACCATCGATATAATCTGTCAATAGACATATTTTTTATTGATTCTCATAAACTCTGTATAATTTCAATATATTTGAATGATTAAACATTCTAAGAGTTTAGATTTCATTTAATAATTATTCCTCATAACTCTTATTTTTATTAAATTATTTTATTGTTTGTTTTTTTATTATTTTTACAGCAAACATCTCACCTTCCCGATTAAAACATTAATGAACCTTAAAATATAAAATTTGGTTTACTGTTGAAAAACTTCCTGAACCTATTTGCATCCCCAGTTTGTATACTTTATCGAAATCACTCAAGATACAGCAATTTGATAATGCATCTTCCCAGGTTTTGAATTATTACTTGTCCTCTGTATTCAGGTGAATCTAATAACCATTATTTATCAATGCTATTTAAAATCCTGTTTCCAATTAATTAAATTAACAATATACAGTATCCAATTATACAAATCCTTTAATGTTATTTCCACTTCCTACATCGGAGTACAATAAAAATTATTTCACCAAAAAGTAGGTTCTGAGGCATCTCTATTTGAAGGTCCTCCCTACCTTGGTGAAATTCCCCATTAGCACATGTACATTTTGAAAGTCTTCCTTATCAAATGACGGAATATCAGTTTTATTCCAAAACTCTTAATTTTCCACTTGACCTTTGCTAAATATCATATTTATTATTAAAAATTATCAAATTGAATAAAAATAGCTTCAATTCAATGTCGAATGTTGATATATTTAAAAATATCTCATAATCAATCATTTAAACCGGTTTAAAATTATTCATCATATTATTCACAAATTTATTTTACTATAATTTTTCCGACCTCTTTTTTATAACTACAATAATATCCGAGATAATGTTTTCATTGTAAAATCACCTGACAAACTATATCAATGTACTCTAATTGAACATTCACTTACTAACCCTTTTTGATTTCTTATTTTTCAATGAATATCGACAATCACGTCTTGATCACATCATCATTAATTTTATTTTACAGTTATTGTGCATTTAAATATAATTGAATCAATTGAAGATTTGCATTGACATTCAAAACATTTAATTTTCAAAATAAGAAATTTGCTGTGATCCCCATTTCCCAATTTACATTCTTCTATTTTCTTTTTATATATTCTTCCATTTTTATTAACTTTAAGAATTGGAAATTTAATAATTAATTTGTTACATGATTAATAATATTTTATTTTAACATTATATATATTATATTATTAATCATCACACTTTTATGTAAATTTATCCACAACCTTAGGATGAAACGGATAGAAAATTGATAGAAATCCCATTCAACATTAAGGAACAAACTCAATAAAATAAACTCTAATCAGAAAGCATTGAAACAACTTAAAAAGATTAATTATCCACTTAATTTAAATCCAAAGGCATGCTGTCTTCAGATTAGAAATCCTGTTCATAAAAGAAAGTTCGACTTGATTCCACAGGGTAACCAATATTGAAAAAATCCAAAGCTCACTAAATTACATTTTGCAATCAATTATACCAAATACATTATGTAGAAAGCTGGAAAGAATATAACTCCAATGATAATTAAGAGGAAGAGAAGGAAACCTGTTGTCCTTTTTGCAAAGTCTTTTGATGTAATGAGGTACTCCAATTAATTTAAATAATCTGAAATTTAATTAGTTGTTTTTATATTTCATTCTTAAAACCATATTATCTGAAAGACTATAAAAAATGATTTTGTTTGTAATTTATCATTGGAGAAACATCAATAAATTATTAAAGAGACCCTAATACATTGAACTGTTACAATTTCAATATACATTTTTTATTTACTTTATTTGATCTTTCATTGTGAATGCAATTCTTAAGATACTCTGTAAATTGATTTATCTCTTTTGCATTTTCAATTTTCAAGAATTAAATAGATTAATAATAATTAAAGGAATGTAATATTTTTTGATCTTATTTTTCTGATTTATAATTTTATTTGAAAAAAACGTAGAAGTTATTTTTCTTGTCCCTTTTCCAATATATAGATAAATGGTATAATAATAATTTCGGATTGATGTTATGAAAGTTATTGTGATTTTTGTCTAATTATTCTATATTTATAAATAATTATAATAAATTGTTTGTGATTATTATATATTGAAAAAAGTTTAAGAATAATACATTTACAAAAAAATTTATAAATCTTTAATATCAAAGTCGATTCAAATGTTTTCTGTTTCCGTTTTGAACCTAGTGCCCTATTCATTTTCAAATCGAACCTTTTGCTTTTTGTCCTTATTTATTGAAGCTATCAAAGAGTAAGTTAAAATATTACAATCTTTTTTAAAACTACTGACTAATTAGGTCCTATCTGATTTTTTGAAAGTGTTCATTAAATTGTAAGAACTTTTGATTTCTTTTTCTGATGATTGTGATGAACTTTAAGCTATTCAAATTATTACAAACAATACCATACAAGGAGAATCTTGATTTAATTTTGAATTCAATAATAAACTACTTTTTTTAAGTCTTTTTAATTTCTTATCTTTGTTCTATGACATCATTAATTTTCTGAGTTTTCTCTCAAATATCTATATCTCATTTTGAACTTGATTTTAATAGTCCTCTTCAAGTAATTTCTTTGCATTCTTAAACTCTATGTAATTTATCAATTGATTACCTTAAACTAATTTCGTCAATTTTTCCTATTTGTTCTATTCCAAATAACTCAACTTATCTTGGAGTCCGACTCGAAGTTACTCCTCTAATTTATTGTTTTGTTTCGCATTTTTTTCTCCCTTAGTCTCACTGACCGGATATAGCAAATGCTTTAAAGCTTATTATTTTTCACTCTTAATCACATTAATTGTTGTCTCCTTCAAGATGCTTGTGTTCTTCACTGCACTCCCTTAAGGAGTTACGTTTTTGGATTACTTTTCTATGTCCTATTCTAATTTCTTGTTACTGATATAATCCTTTTTGAATTGCTAAGTGGCTTGGGTGATATTTTGATTGCTGGTCTCTTTATCAATTGTTTATAGATTGCCAACCTATTTCAATTATTCTTTGATCATTGTGTAGAAGGATCTATCATTGGACATATTTGTTGATGAGTCTGCTTTTGATCTAGTAAAACTACTTTTGCGGTGTTATTGAGTTAAAACAGATTACAATTGAGATATTTGGTTTTTTAGAGACTGTAAATTTTAGATATTGCTCGTTGTGGAATAAATACAGGGTTAATATCGATTAATGTATTATTATGCATTTTTAGGAGATTTACTATACACTCTCATGCTATCTGTTGAATAGGCACTTCCATTATAATTATAAAAGTTTCTGGAGTGAGAACTCGAGGCTTAATTCATTTAACGGAACTTAATTGTTTTTATTAAATATAAATATAATCATCAGATCGAAAAAAGTTCATTCATTATTTGATCTAAATCTGAATCAATCATAAATGAAATTCAAATTCAGTTATGTTGACAAATCACCTTAATAGAATCATCTATATGTGTCAATAAATTAATCAAAATGGAATGATTAAACTAATTATGTCAATCTCTATAAGTTTACAAAATCGAAGGTAGCAACAATTTGAGTTTGATAAATAACTTATGATTATATGTAAAACAATATTGATTACTATATATATTAATTATATTTAGTATAGTAATAGTAGTAATCACTAATTGATATAATAAAATATATCAGATTTTATAGATTATGTATCTGAAGCAGGAGAAAATATAAAAACAATATTGATCTCTTATCTTTATAGAGATGATTATAGTTCATAAAATATCATAATTGTAATGAAAAGAATACATCAGATTTAGATGACACTATTAATAAATTTTATAAAATTAATAACCATTTTTCATATAGAATTTAGTATCTTAGATTGGTTCTTCAAATTAACGTTTGTAAACAAACGGAGAGTGAAACTAATTAATTTTTCAATTAATAATGGTATGTGTTTAAGAAGAAGTGCGAAAAGTGATTTTGTTATTGAATTTCAACAAAAAACCCATTTTTGCGAACAAAATCATACTTGGGGTAAGATTAGACTTAGAATTAATATGACCGATTTAAAATATATAAATCAAAACAAATAGTGGTATTTTTTGTCTGAATCTGGTAATTTAGGTAGTTTTCTTAGTCTACTTCCATATTCCTTTTATTTTTAGTAATCTATGTCCAGAATCTTGTTTGATATAGTGGGTTTAAGAGATTATAGCTTTTTCATTAAGTTGTGACTCTCTAAACAACTGTTGAAACTGAAATTTGGACTTTTTAGATCAACTGAAGTAATACCTCTTAATCTAGTTTAATTTACGTATGGATTTTCTCTCACCTTTATCCTTTCAATCTTATCATCAAGTAACTTATGTAAATTATTGTGAAGAATACTTTCTTAAGACGGACTTAAGCATTTTATTATTGTTATTTATTAAATTTAGATGTTTTTTGAAGCATCAAAAATCTGTTATTTGATGCAGATTTATTGGACTCAATAACTTTGTAAATGTTCATCTTTTCTTTGTTGATCTCTTCCATCCTTTTGAAATGATTGTAATACTCTTCCAGTTAGTAAGATTCAATAGCAGGATTATGGATGATAAATCGATTTGCTTTCATTTATTTTGGTAATTATTAAAATTAAATTAATGAACAATAAATAGAGGTATTAAAATTGGAAAAAGGCAAGATCAGACAAAAGGGATCAAAAGTAATAATAAGGTTAGCAATAACAAATATCAATGCATCAATTGCAATAATTAAATAACTAATAAAGTAATAGTCAAGATGAAAGTGATGATGAAGATCAATAATAAATGGCTAAGACAGAGGAAAGATTGAATGATGTTAAATTGTTTATGATTGATTATGGTTAATGTGATGTTAAGAAATGCACAGGTAGAAAAATGGAGAGATTTAAATTGTTGACTGCAATAAAGCCAAAAGTGAAATTTTAAGGAATCATAGTAAGCGCAAATGGAAAGAAGTATGTATCAAAAGAAGATGAGGAACTATTACAAAAAGGGATTTGTGTCATTGATTGTTCATGGGCAAAGATAGATGAAATTACTTATGTGTCTCCCAATGAAAGATTATTACCACATATGGTTGCTGTGAATCCGGTGAATTTCGGCAAATAATTTAAATTATCATGCGTCGAAGCTATCGCAGCTACATTAGCCTTATGTGGGCGTAGAGAATAGGCAGATTTCATTCTTAGCAAATTCACTTGGGGAGAGAACTTCTTTAAGATAAATAAAGATGCCTTTGATCTTTATTCTGAATGTCAGAATGATAAAGAATTAAAAATAGCAGAATAAAAGTATTTGGAGATGGCTTAAAAGAAGGAGAATACTGGATAAAGGAATTATGATATGCCAAGTAGTTCTGATGAAGAAGAGAATCAAATTTAATGATCTCATATCTATAATTTATTCATTGCTGCCTCAAATTCTTCTTATAAATTGAATATAGGTCTCTAATCAGGAACATGGCCAAAAAAATAATTGTTCTAGATTGAGTTTTAATTTTGCAGTTCTTCTTCTTAAACTTTTTGATTTGACACTTCATATATTTTATTAATTATCTAAATCACATATCCTCTATTTTCTTTGACTGGTTTTATTCTAATTTATCATCCATAATATAAATACTTAAATTCAGAAATTGCTGTCTATAGTAATTCTTATGTATCAGTTTGAGGTATTAGTTTTAGTATAATGTTAGTGGCATATTTGTGTAATTGATTATGATATTGGTACTTTTGTATAAGTTGCTACTTATAAATAATTAATTTTACAAATAATGCTTAAGCCAATTCTTATCTGTTTAAGTTCTCTAAAATGTATGGTTGATTGGTAAGTACATCATAAAATTAAATATATGAGAGATTATTTAAACCAAAGGTGGTTTCTTTACTCAATATGTTTTAAAAAAAGTCTTTTGTTATTTAAAGAAAATGATTGTAAATTTATGTGACTTCTTATTTATATTACTCCTTGTGATTAATTAAACCTATTAAGATGTTTAAAATTGGTTATGGATGGTTGGACAAGGCAGATATAAAAGTGTCAAGTTTTGTGAAGATATGTTTAATTATGAGAGACTTCTATTCTTGAAGTGTTTCAGTAATTTGATTCAATAACATACATATGACATTGGAAATACCCTCACATTTATCAGTATTCAGATCATTCAATAGATAATTGACTAATTTGATTCTTTTGTCCATATACTCTAACTAATTCTCCTGAGTTTAATAAATAATCGTGGAATAGATTAATTCTGCAATGGAATAGTTATTGATATCTTGTATGAGAATGGATAATTATGACAATTAGACATTTTACCAAAACTAAATTGTTAAGTTGGATGATTACAATACAGGGATTGTTTTTGAGTACATTCATAATGACTTTACTCATATGTCCAATTGTAATAGAAGGCAGAGTATTTTAGGTATTCAGCAATTGGATAAGGAAATTCAGATGTTTGGCATTTAGTGCATAAAGTGAACCCAACAATTCGCTTACGACAAAAGGATACTTGATTACTCTTTTGTGATCAGTTTCTAATTCATCATATTCAAAAAAGGAGAGCATCTGAGTAACTAAATCTTCATTATTGATTAAACTATTAGATTGTAGTTTATAAATATCCTTACAATTCTTTCAATTGGATGTTGTTCTCCTTATTGAGAAGTATGCTATCATCATCAAGGAAGTCTGGAATATTTTTATTATTATAAAACTCATCGAAGATTGTTAACATTATATTTATATTATTTATCTCAAGCGAGTTTTACATCTTCAATGTGGACTGGAGTCATTGGGACATATTTATATGATGGATCAGCATATTTGGTTTTCTTAACGTGTTCTGGTTGTATTGATCTCTCCTTGATTATTTTGGCATGTTCTCTATGATACTAAGATTTGAATAATAATGGATTGTTACTCTCTTCATCATTTCAGCTGTATAAATAGAACTAATTTCAGTGTAATGTGCTGACAGTCTTTGATTCAATGTGTTCAATGGAAAATGTAATGCATTTGTTGCTTTCTTCATCACGTAATCCAAATTATCAGGACTAACTATCCAAATATATTGCATACTAATATGATCTGTTTTCAGAGGAATAGTAGACTAATCTAAAGAGACCTGCCAAAACTGCAATTGGTCCCAAGAATACAGCTGCTCTCATTGGTCTTAACATATGATATCCTTAATGGGTGAGTCCCCTATTGTTTACATATTGGTGTTAGTTACTTTAAGACTGAGTATTTGTGACCCATGAAGGCTGTTGCAAAGAGCACTCTTCTGTTGAAATAAATGAACATTTAGTTTGTAGGATGAAATCCGAATTCTCTTGGACCAATAAGGAAGAATCTTCCGATCTTACCTAATAATCCTGATCGTTTGGCTAGCTTCTCGTTGATGACCACAGATACTGGGTTCAGGATTTTCAACCATGCTTATTAAATTGGATTCATCTTTATTTAATTAATATTATTTAGATTTCTTTTCTCATAGATATTAGGGGATTGTGTGAATAATAATAATTACATACATTTTTAACTCAAATCAGCACTCACACTTTATACCACAGTATATAAATTATATTAATTAAATAAAATGAATGAAAATAAAGACATGGTTCAACATGACTATCAATCTCAACTCAAGGAATTCTACGAGTAAACCTAAGAGATTGTTAGTTCAATCCAGTAAGGAATCCGAATTAAGAAAGTAAAAGACATCATCTAATATTCAAAGGATATACCAATTCAAATCAGCAATTTAATGGGACAATTGAAACCAATATTAGAATCTATCTCTCAGAATGGTGAAATTCAAAAATATAATTGGCTCCATTTGAGATCACTTATTGTAATCACAACCAGAGATATGTTATTGAATATGCAGAAACTTTATCCCTACGAAAAGACTGCTCAAAACGAAGGCTTCGAAGATGAATTAGATATCGTGCTCCAATTTCTCTGTGTTTTTGAATAAAAGTAAGTTATTCTCTTACTATTTTAAAAAGACCACCTTTTACTTTGCAACGAATATGCGAATTACTTATTGATCCCTAAAAACATTACAAATCATCCAAGAAAATATTGTTCGCCATGGAAAAATTAGTAAATGTAAGTACATGATATAAAATTATAATATTTATTTAATGAAGCACAAACCAAGTTATTGGAAATCTACTCACTTTGCTGCCTCTGTCCAATATCTTAATTTCATTATTGAGTGCATCATCTTCCCACTCGCCTTGATTCTATACATAAATCACTACAAAATGGATAGAAATCTATATGACAATTGGGAATATAAACCCATTATTGAAATTCAAAAAATATAAGGCTCTAAATGCCCATCCGATCTGGAAACCTTCTTTGACTATACTTACCCAGAAACTTCCAGTGGTATTTATCAAAATTATAATTAAAAGGATGTGATTGTGGTTTTGGCGAAGAAGATGAGAATGGCCAAATTGATTATGATAAACTGAAAACTGAACATTGCTAGACATCTGACATTGATGAAGGATGCACCGAAATAACTCCTATAGAATCTAAGGATTTTATCATTTGGAAGGGGTATTCCATCTGCGGTAAAAGATCTGAATACACTTACAGAGAATTATTTTATGAAAGGAATTGCACTGCGATTTGCAATGGAGTTTGCTAAACCAAAAATAATCAAAATTCTTGTGGAAATTACCAAGATCTACTCTCCAAAGAAAATCTAACTCAATCTTATTTCAATTTCACCTTAAGCTATGGAATTGATGTTTGCTATGAGGATGGAGAGTCAATTAATCAATATCCATTGTTAGAATCAGCCTATAAATGCGTGATTTAATCATCAGAATATGCATTCATTGATGAATTTGATCAATATATGTTATTTGAAGAAAATGAATATCCTTATGAAAGTTTACCAGGATTAAAATATTTTAATGAAACACCTAAATTTGGTCTTTTTGGTGAAAAGTTTACTGAATATAATTGTACTATTAAATAGATTGACGTCTCTAATTATAGAGACAACTACATTCAACTTGTATTTTTGATTGCTCTCATTATGGCAGGTAAATTCTCATCAAAATAAATTAGGCTGTTTGATGGGTTTCGGAGCTATATTTCATTCAGCTATCATCTAAAACTTAACTAGAAAAGGAATATTCAAGCATAAAATATATAAAGTTACTTGGAAATTTTATTGTCCTACTACATTCCTCATTCTTCTACACATGGCACATTTAGCTATTGTAGGCACTAAATTGGGATTTCTTGCTCATTTTAGAACTACTATGCATTCTTATATTGAAAATGTAATAGTGTTTCATAATTATAATTTAGAAATGCACCGATTGGTCAAACATATTGAATCTTGTTTTCATGAGAGATTTTATTGATGCAGAATTAATGCCTCTTTGCATTCCTGAATTAGTTCTAACTTTTGGAGCTATGCTATTAGAGATTTTACAGTTGTGCTTATTTGATAGGAGAATACCTGAGACCATAGCATCCCCTACACTTAAAGGTAGAGAGAGTCCTTCGAAATCAAACAATTTCATTTTGAATTTTGGGTTTGATAAAGAAGAAAACATGGAAAAACACGTTTTGGATACTGAAAATATTAGAATTAATAAGAAGAATGTATTTATTTACTAATAATATAGGAATAATTAAAGTTATATAATGAATGATTATAAAAGATTCTCTTATATAGTCAAAATTAAAATAATTATGTTATTTCTCTCTTTAAGACTAATAATCACACATGAACCAAGGTTTGGAGTTAAAAATATCCTTATTTTTATAAAATTTAATATTGATTTTAGTTAGTATAGAAATCAAGAGCTTCTAAGATTCTTATTTATGAAAGAATTAATAGATGAATATATTATATTAATATGATAATTCAGAACTTTTCATGTGCATTTACTAAATCTGCATTTTAATATAAATATCCATTAGATGCCCATTTCATTTCTATATTAAGTTTTTTATCATCAGGATCATCATTTGGAATTATTTTTTGATTGTATGTTCCTTGTACTTTATTACCATTCTTGAAGTACCAGACTCCAACTTTGTTAGGCTTATTATTATCAAATTCTCCTTCATAATATGTTCCATTAGGCAGAATCCATCTTCCAGAGACAAATTTGTTTTCCTTCCATACACCAACTAACTATTGAAAATAGATATTAAGGAAATACTCTCATCCCAGTATCATTGTAAATATATGTTCCATTACCCTCTTTTTTACCAAATGCCCACCATCCACTATATTAGTCTTTGTTTGGATAGGTGAAAATGCCTTCTCCATGTCGCTTACCATTTTCCCATTAACCTAAGATTATAAATGAGAGTGAAACCGAAATATTCTCCCTTCTCTTTGTAAGTTAATTTACCAATTCCATGTTTAACATTATTGATGAAATCACCAAAGTAAAGGTCACCATTGGCATAGTTATATTTGCCTTTACCATTTCTTTTCTAAGGATTAGATTTGAAACAGTTACTCCATCGACATATTCTCCTTCATAGATTTCATTATTGGCATATTTGGCTGATCCTCGACCTGTATAATCTCTGGAAGACTTGGTCTTTTGATCACCTTCAGGGAGGAATTTGATAAATTCAAAATTATTGTCATCTGGATTTTCATCAGCCATTTTATATTAAATTAATTTATTAATTAGTTTTGAACAGCAAGGAGTGAATATTAAGATAAACTACAAAAAAATGAGTAAAAGCTGATTATTTAAGAGACTACTTACCTTTAAATTATAATATTGGATGATGATTACAGGATCAAATATAGTAGATTATATTAATATATGAATATATAAATATATATTAATCACGATCTAGTAGTATAGATGTAAGTTTAGATGTGAAGTTAAAAGCAGAGAACAATAATATTAGAATAATTGTGTTAAGTAAATGCCATCACATTTGTTGAGTATTTTTATGGACTTGTTTTATAAATGTTGAGTTTAAAGATGAAAGAATGAGTTAGAATTAGTTCGATAGAGAAGATTTATTAAACAGGATGCATTCCTACAATTTATGAATTGAATAATAATGAACAATAATTCAGAATTATAATCTATTTTTGATATTAATTCAAATAACAATCATGAGTATATTAATTATATATAAAATATAATAGAATACATGTTATGAATTAAGATAAATATGATTATTCATATACTTTCAATTTAATAATCTATTTATTGATCTTGAATGAATAAAAGATGAATAGAATATAATTAGCTTGTCCAGTTTAAGCATAAGATTAAGAATGATATATATTAATTTTGTATGATTTATAAATGAATATTTAAAGAAATTCTAAGAATTAGCTTTAAGAATAATAAATTTCTTGAAAAAAGTAATAATGGATTTTGTGTTGAATCTCATACATTAGTCTTAGACAATACCCTTCAGACAAGGAGTGAAGTTTAACAACTACAATATAGTCTGCATGTAGATGATATGAATTTAAAATAGCATCTCTGTTTGTGCATACATTTTGGCATTGCTAATTAATGGCACAATTGGTGTTAAGACTGCCAAATCCACAAGTGATAGTTATAAATTGGTAGTTACACCTCCTCCTTGGGCATTTTCAATATGGGGAATCATTTTCAGTATCAATTGATAATTACTTAATAAAGGCACTACATTGGTGGCATTATTGTGGAGCATTCATTCAGTGTCTTGGAGTTTAGAAACCCACTTGTACTTTTGGCTTTATTGTTTCACAATTTCAGTTTGGATCTTACTTTGGGCAATTGTTAGCAAGATAACAATACTTTTATGCAAAATTGTGCTAATTTTATTAACAATTGTATTAAAAATCAAATAATATTTAAGAATATTTATCTACTTTGGAAGAGTACACTGGTTTTGGAGAACGATGATTGGTCAATATACCTGATGAGGGGAGCAATAGCATTTTAATTGGGATGGACTTCAAGTGCATAATGTTTGAACTTCTGCATTTGTTTAGTGCATGTCTTTGGTGTCACACAAGACATGATATCTAAGTTGATTTGGGTATGCATAGTAGTTGCCCATTCAATCTATTTGAGCTTAGCTTATTGTCATTCAAAATAATGTAGTCATATTATTATATAATTTTAGACAACAAAAACATGTTACTAAATTTTGGAGGTTATTTGTTAAGTATGACTTGGGCAATAATGGGAGTGGCAATTTCGTACAATAATTATAGTTCCGGAAAGGCAATTAATAAATAAAAATGAATTAGTATATTAAATTTAATGATGACATCATCATAGTATTATAAAAATCGATGATTATGACATTGATATTAATATAATTAAAAAATGGAAAAGACACTCCTTGCCATAGGTTTAATGATGTTAGTGGGAACACTTTACAATGTTCAAAGCGTTCCTGAATTAGAATTGGCTTAAAAATTCACAAATTACTAAGCCCAATTCAACAAATAATACTCAGGATCTGAACTCCTCTATAGATTATAAGTTTATGAGGCCAACATTGCTGATATTAAAGCCAGAAATGCAAGAGTCGGAAGAGAAATCTTTGGAGAAACCTAATTCACAGACCTTACCGATGAAGAATTTGCTGCCACCTACTTGACCCTCAAAGTCATCCCTGAAGAATTTGAAACAGAAAAATCTTAATTTGAAAATGTCACTGCCACACCAATCGATTGGAGATCAAGAGGAGCAGTCTAAAAGGTCAAAGATCAAGGATAATGTGGTTCATGCTGGGCCTTCAGTACAACTGGTGTCTTGGAAGGATTCTTCAAGATCAACACTGGTGAATTACCAGATCTCTCTGAATAATAATTGGTTGACTGCTCAACCTTTATTCCTGATTTGAACTAAGGATGCAATGGAGGTATGCCATCAAGAGCCTTGAACTACGTCAAGAGAAATGGTCTTACCACCTAAAGTGCTTACCCATACGTAATATATCATATTAATTCTTTTATAGAAAGCTGTAGATTAAACCTGCGCAATCAAGGGAGGTGCCTACAAAGTCAGTGGATCAACTGCCATCGCCGCCAATGAAGCTGCACACTAAGCTGCCCTCTAAAGCGGTCCAGTTTCAGTCGCTGTCAAGGCATCAGATTGGAAGAACTACAAACCCAAAGGTGACGACTACATCTTCCCAGATGCTGAATGCACAGGAGATGTCAACCACGCTGTCTTAGCTGTCGGTTTCACTAATGACGCTCTTATTGTTAAGAACTCATGGGCTGAAAAATGGGGAGTTGATGGATACATCTATCTCTAAGGTGGACGTAACACTTGCAGCGTTTGGGATAACTCAGTCGTACCAAAATGATATCAATCATAATCATAAATATTAATTCCAAAATAAATCATATTTCGGCTAGATCTCCTTTCTTAGAACTAAACACTGCAATTTATAGCATGATCCAAATATCCACACTTAATTGGATCACTCCACACATCACAAATTAGGCTGGCTGATTTTTAACTATAAAGTAGAATGTTTTGAATGCATCTCCTAAAAACCATGATCCTATCATAGCATAAGACAATCCCTTGACGCTTTTTGCTGAGTGATTCTTTATGGCTTGAGGTAATCCCAAAGTGGCCTAGTCAATATAAAATAATTTCTACTTCAATTGCACAACTCAAAAATCCAATTATTTCCCAATATTGAGGGTTGGCCAGATTCAAATAACTAGAAAGCAAAACGAAAATTAAGAAGGTTATCAAACATGCTATATATGAGTTCAATTGACTCCATCTCCAAAACTTATTCAGTGGACTATCAAAGAATGAGTCTGGCTTAGCCTTTAATACAGATTTGTTCATTATTGTCAAACATGACCTAAGCAATTCAATCTTAAGGTTATTGTATGATTCATTACTTACATCATTATCATTAGAATTGATTGATACAATAATGCATTTTCAAAACGTTTTTCATACCAAAATACAATTCTCAACAAGTTTGCAAACAATAATATTGCACACACATCGATTGAAAATGAGCCCACACTCTTTTAAGACTTTATCAATTAATATTGAGCCACGTATCCAATTAGAGGACCCAATACAAATCCTATGCATTTATCAAAACAACATCAATTACCAATATTCAAAGCAAAATCAGCTAATTAAGAGCCATATCGAATTAAATCATCAAATTAAACAAACTCCATTATTTTATATTAATTATTAACTGACAATATAATTATCTACTCAATGTCCGATTATTATGTAAGACCTAGAGCGATCAACAATCAAGAAACTACACCCAAGAGAATGTTTGGAAATCCAAATCAATCATACACTTAACCATCATTAAATCAAAGTCCTATATATCACACGCCAGATAGAGCTATGAAACAACCTTATCGAAATCAGAATTAAAGTGTAATTTCTAATCATCTAATTTAGTACAATGATATGTCTGAATTTATTCGCAGGTAATAATTAAGTCAATATCCTCCTACATATTAATCTAGTTAAATTTCTATTCAATAGGAATTCAATAACACAGGCAAATAGTTTGATTAAGTCTTCAAAAGATCTGAAAATTCTACCCAAGAGTCTAATTGGTTTTAATAGAAGACCAATAATATCAATCCAAATATACAATAATATAGAATAGAAAGGGAAAAAATTAAGCGAGATTCGTCTTAGCCATTTTATGATAACAACCATTAAGTTACGGATAGAAATCTTAGACCATTCAAGGTTTATATTTATTTTTATTAAGTTCGAAGAAAAGGTCTCAAGTGATAAAAGTGATATTGAAAAAATAAAGTAGCTTCTGGTTGATAACTAACTGAAACTAAGTCTTTAGGTTGATGAATATAAAGTTAAGCTAAATAAACAAGAATAAAAAACAGTAGAGCTAGAAAAATTAAATAAGCAATTGAAATAACAATTAAATCAAAAGAGTCAAGAAATGAAAACTCTTTAATAATCTCATATTTCATAATCGAAACTCTAAGAAATGTAAGATTAACAAATGAAGAAATTCTAGAAGATATACGAACAATTAACATAATCAAATGATGATTTGCGTGAAGAAAACAATCAATTGAAATTACTCTTATTATAGTAATAAATTATTATATAAATTAGAGTGGACAATTATTCCTCAGTCTCTAGATCAATTATGAGTAAGAAGAACTCAGAATAAGAATTTCAGATTTTCGGTGTTTAGAATGATAATATCAAAGAATTAATAGATCAATTTCTATAAGGGACCTCTGATTAATTGTTGTCTTTGACACAAGATCCTCTTATCTAAAAAGTCTTTACTTAATTTCGAGATATAATTAATGCAATACAATTCAATCAACATCAAAAGCTAGACTTTTAGATGCTCAAGGAAACAGATTTTATGAAAATTAAAAAGTAAAGCGAAGACATCATTACAGTACCAGAATTAAATCAAAAAGCTGACAATCTAATAAGGGAAATCAAATAGAAGATGGAACAAATGGCATCCTTAAAGGTATATATATATATTACTAATATTAACAGGAAGGAGATTAAAGAAGGAATGCTATAAAGGAAGAGATTGATAGATTATAAAAAGAATATGATGGGATTCAGATACTGGTTACAGAATAATCAGATTATTTGGATAAAAACACAACTAATCTACATAGAAATAGTATAATCTCATTTGATCAAAATTTTGATGGTGAGGAACAACAATGAAAAATTAACCGTATACTTATTATTTCTAAATTGATTCAAATTCACACATATAACAATTCTGAAGTCATTTTTTACAAATATATGTCAATTCACAATAACTTAGATTCCAATTGACTATACCTCATCTAATAACCATATTTCTTAATATTAAATTAAGCTAAAAGACAAACAAATGGGGTAGAGCTATGCTAAATTCACTAATGTTTGTATTAATAATAAATTAATTAATATAATTTTTTTAACAAGTATAACTATTAAATGATGTTAAATTACAGTAACACTACTTTTGTTTCTACAAAAACTATCTAACCATAACCATTAACAAGTCTCTGCTTACTTACGTTCTGATTCTTTTAATAAGTTATAAGCATAATTAAATAACTAATTGACATAAATTCACTTTAAATATCAAATGTTCACATCCACAGATTTACATCTTATCACTTAGACTTTATTCATTGTTGATAATGATAATATGAATAATGAACAATAAATAAACCATTAATTAAATCTCTGTTTATATACTAATAATTATAATTAAGAATAATAGTTTAATACTTTCCCTAAGATCGAAAGAAATAATTTAAACTAATATAATGAGCAGAATTATAGAATCACCTTATTTTATAAAAACTAGATTTAAAAATGTATATATTATTTTAACTAAAATTGATACATTATTTTTATATTTACTTTATACTTACATATGAAAGATTAGAAATATTTAAAAATCAATTACTCTTAAGTACTTGAAGATTGACCATATACTTTTCAAAATCACACACGTAGACACATTTTGCGCTAGAAATCTTTTTCAAAAACTAATTTACTACACTATTTATCCTATTGAATTGAATTAAATTTATCAAATATGGTAATTGTAATGATTATGTAATTAATATACTCTCAAGTAGTGTTCTATATATTTTTTACCCTCCCTATTATCTGCCACAATGCAGAATTCTTTATTCCTAGAGAATAGCTTTTTTGCATACATTATATCCAGGTCCTTAACTTTTTTTCAAAAACTATTTCGAAGCTCAGAGAACTATTTTTAGAATTATAGTTTCCCATTAGTCATTTTAAGGAGTAATGCTACTTAAGAGTACTTATATCATAATATAATATATTTAAGTGAAGGATTGAATAGTACAATATTGGAGAGTCGTTTACATAAAAATTGGAGGTTATTTAACTTGACAAAATGTGTAAAAGCCATATAGACAATTTAGTATAAGTGATATGAAGAGAGAAACGAACTTGTTTTCATTTTTTATAATTGTATAAAACTAAAACTCACAAAATAAGTAATTTTAAACTCACAGTATATATATTCAATCAAGTTGGAACGAGGACTTAGAGAATTTTCTGGAAAGATAGGAATTCCAAACGTACAGTAATTCGGTATATTCTAGAACTTGATGAGATTTTCTTTATCTAGAAGTACTTTAGAAGGAGGTCTTTCTGAGTGAATTAACCGTGGTTTAGGGGGACGCTAATAAGCAACTGACTTCAGTATCTCCTGTTTCAGGGACCGGGTAGACATCTCCATTACTTTAGAGCTGTGTTATAGGTAGCTAAATGAGCTTCTGCATCTTTATAAGAAAGCTATTAAAAATAATGTTAAAATTATTGTTAATATAACCAATTTAATAGTTGCTTTAGACCATCCTAATCACTTTTAAACATTGACCTAACCTATTTCGGAGCTTAAAGAAGGAGATATTGGGTGATATTGTAAAATTTGGTTCTTAAATATTATATTTTAAATATATATTTATCATTTACAAACGTATAAAGCAAAACCATTGCACACATATTAGGCCAAATGAATATAATCCTGCAATTCTAATAACTCAATGGGAATGGCATTTCTGCTCCAATTATTTTTCTCATACTCAATTGATTTAATGCTTTATTCCAAACCCTTAAAGACATCTTCACTAGTCTTCTTCATCAAATCAGATATATTGAAGAACCCTATTCTATTTGAGTTACAACACATTAAGGTAGTTTCATCCAGGCTGATGGAAACCGACCTGATGTAATCCCTCCCATTGGCACTGTGGAAATCACTTCTTTGTAAATAGATCTTCTCCTTCAGAAGTTTCGTCATAGGCAAATAGTACAAAACCACTGATCCAGAATCGCATCCAATGCTTAAGAATTGACCAGTGAATGACACATTCATACACGTGATATTTCCATCCATAAATGAGATATACAGACATTCAGCCTTATCAATTGACCATATTCTAAAGATTCGATTCTCTTCTGCAGTAACAACATATTCAACAGATGGAACAAATTCAACTAGTTTTACTTGATTCATTACAGGTCCAAATATCCTAATACATTAATTTTAATCAGTAGCCCATAAGAGAGCAGTTCCATCTGAAGAGGCACTTGCAAACCAATATCCCATAGGTGCAAATGCCAAATGCCAGATAGTTTGTAAATGTCCTTTGTAAACTACCAACGGTTATCTAGATTTTAAGCATGAGAATTTAATAGTTAAATCAACTGAGACTGAAATGATATAATTCTCATCATAGAGAATGCTAATTGCAGTTACAGGTCCTTCGTGGATATGCATTTCAAAACTAGGATTGCAAAGTAGTCTATTTTATCTATTTTACTTTAATTCATTCATGTCGTAAATTAGTATGTTACCATCATAACAACCACAACATATTATTTTGCAGAATTTACTTATTTAAATGTAGGAAATCACATTTGGCAGATCTTGTAATTTGATACCTAGCACATTCTTTTGTTGGTTTAATAAACACTCAATCAGTTTTGTGTCATGTGATAATTTGTATTTGATTAATTGAGAATATTTGACTTGTTTCTCATTATTGTTTTCTTATGATTGTTGTTGTTGCTGTTTTCTCTATTATAATTTCTTTATCACTTCTTATTTCATTTGATTTGCTATTTGATATGGCAATTGCTTCTATTCAATCAATTACTGAATTTCTGAGAAATCCTATTGACTCAGAGGATCAAGATGAGACTTTTAACATTTCTCTATCTAGACTATGATTCTGAGCCAATCATCTTCAATAAAGGTATTAAAGTATTTTTCTTTGGTCTTCATGTTTTCTTCTATCAATCTGAGATCCCTTAATTTGTCATCCTTTGCATTCACTTCCATTTATCCTATTTGTTTATTGAAATAGAATAGTCCACTCAGAGTAGCATACCTGTTTGTATTGAAACAATCGCTATTTGAATATTGATTAAACTTGAGTTTATTTTTGAAATCTTGGAAAATTTGATTTTAATGTTTTAAATATTCTGAGATGTAATTTATTTTCTCGAACATTATTGAGGTTGTAGTTATTGAACAGTATCTGTAAAATTGACTATAACCAGACAAGTACTAATCGTCATGTCGATTCTTAGATAATGTTAATAATTCGTCTCGAATACTCTCATTTAAATATGCTGCATTCTAATTGACCATATATGTAATGAATTCATTTAATTCCTTACGAGCTGATACCTAATCATCCTCTCTCTTTTATAAACTTTCCTGATAAATTTGAAGTAGCTTTTCCATCATGAATGAACTGCATAAGAAATGCAAAAATTCAATCTGTGGTCTCTAACTTGCGATTTCCTAAGATATGAATTGCTGATAAAAATCAGCTAAAATCTTCTCATAAGTGATGGATTTCTTCGGTGTTTAAAGCATAATATAATTAATTTATTATTAATATATATATAATTATTTATGAATCATTATCGATTGAAAATTGTAGATACAATTCATCAAACAGTCTAAATTAACATATCCAATTATTATTATTCCAATTACCCTCATCAAATTAGATTGAATATCAGATGTATTACTGATGTAATTGTTTATACATTACAGTTTTAATAATTATATATAACAGCAAATTTTATTATTAAAAAATGGGTAATTAAACCTCTTATGTTAATGAATAAGTGATATCAATGGATGGCAAATTAGAAGATAATTTAGAATGCATTGGATCAAAGTAGCACAAATATTTAGGATAGATTTAATTATGGAGGAGAGATTCTAAAAGCAATCCCACCATCTTCTCGAAAGTATCAATTCAACTAATCATAAAAGCAATCTCACAGTGGATAACGACATGATATCAACACAAATGAACATAATGATAGAAAAAAAGTGAATCACCCAAATATTCTACAATATTATGGTTGCTAATCCAATTATTTAACATTTAAGGGTAATATCCTATAAACCAAATTTTTTTTTGAATATGTTCCAAATACCTTAGATAATGTTATCAGTTTTCATAAGAAGAATTGCAGTTATCTGGAAGAATCTGAAATTTGGAAAGTACTTGATATTTATAGTCATTTAGATAATTCAACAGATAGTTTCTGCTTGTTCATTTTTAGAAAAATTAGATTTATTTCATGGAGATTTGAATCCATAAACAATATTTATTGATAATTCCAAATAAATTAAAATATTGGTACTTCAAATAAATAACAAAATAGTATCATAATGCATATCCAGATATAATTACATCATATGCTAAATTATTAGCCTACTCTGATGCCAGTGTTTACATATCACCCCAATAATTAGATTCTTTGGCTACCCAATCAGTTGATCCAACAGATGACCCTCAGAAAACAGATTCATTTTAATTTGGACTCACATTGCTAGAAATAATGACCATGACCTCAAGTATACTTTAATCATTTATATTGAGTTTTGGAAGACTGTATAGATTATCAAAGAAAGACTATTTATTATAAATCAATAATGGATCTATTGTCATCAGCAAGAAAGAGATATTCCTAACACTTGATCGATGTAGTGTAAAGATTGATTACATTTGATGAATAATCAAGGCCAAAACTTTCTGATTTCCTTTATGATACAAACCTGTAATCACAACAAAGCAGCAGTTTCTTACCCTAATCCAAAATAAGAAGATATACCTCTCCTCCTAAATAACCTGAAAGGACTAACTCACCACCACCTGACATGGGATTCAGTAGTAAATCTCCAGTGTAAAGAGATCTATCCATCCAATCATAATTTAGAACTCCTCTCTAAAGGAGTGTCTCTCCTATTTTAGATAGATCTACCAAGTATCTAAATCTTGCTCAGAGCAGAAATACAACAGCCTTAAGTGTGTTTCATAAGAGTCCAAATAAACCAGCTATATTGATTTAAAGTCAAACTCCAATCAAAAATGATAGAGGAAGAAAACTTAATACTGTAACGGATAATTCTAGAAATGTTTTGGTCGTAAGCAGAAGTCCAATATAAAACCAATCAAGAAAAGCATCAGCATAATATGCTTCAACTCATCAACCAGCTTTAACATTTGTTACTCCCAGGCAATATACTAACTTTTTGCCGGTGTAATAAGAGTCCTATTCGGAGAGTGTTAATTAGAAATAATTGAATCAGTAACAATACTTTTCTTAAACTCTCTAACACTATGTTCAACCTTATCATAACAATTAAGAAAACTTCAATAATACCTTACCAAAACCACAAAACATTTAGACATAACTTTAATAATAACAATCCATATAATAATAGCCTTAATCTGCAAACGCACTTAGTAAAACGCCATAAAAAGTACCATCAAAGGGTATAAATTTACTATCCCCACTATAAAGTATTAATAAATGATTTATTATTATGTTATTTGATAACAGAAAAGATTATTTATAAATCTTAATTAATTGGTAGTTATAAATATATAGAAACCACTGCTGAAAATTAAGGAATCAAAGATTAATTGAGTATAATATTTAATTTCTTCTTTTGATTAGTTCATAAATAGATATAATAATGTGTTTTTCAAATTCATTTCTTAGCACTTATTGGTCTCTTAGTTCCATTATGAGATTTATTACCAACAGCAGATTATGGTCTTGAAGAATAACGTGATTAAGGGAATTACTAAGGATCCTCTTAAATATCCTATTAGTATTGTTCCATACTTTATCTTTTTATATCAGCTTAATAATATTTTCCATCTGTTCCTTTCACCTATTTTAAACATTATCTGTACTTTTTATTAATTGGTTGTGCTGCAACTTAGACAGTTTATCGGATATAGCTTTTTGGTTCCAACTCCAATAATTTAATCTGTTGGTGGAGAAGCTGATTACTACATATTCATAGGTGTTTTCTTGATTTAGACTTTATATTATTTATTTAGAATACCTTATAATGAATCTATTTCTCTTCGCAAATAATTAATTGTCTCCATAGCTTATCCTAATCTAGTTTCTATATTATGTAGTTCTCTTTTCATATCATCTTCATTGGCTTTAGCTTTGACTTATTTAATTAGATTGTTTATGTCGAGATCTCTAAAAATTCTAGTGACTCTTCTTTCAATTTCATTCGCATTTTCAACTTTGTGAGCTATATCTTACAAATCCTTTTGAATCTTTTTGATTTTATCTTCTTCAATATTTCCTTATTAATGGAATTATTCAAACATTCTATTTATTTCATCTTTTGTAACAAATTTTTGTTCTTCTGATACATTTTACACCTACTATTACTATTGCTGTTAATATAATTGAGAGAAGAATTAAAAACTATCATATCTTGATTTAAATTCAGCATCAAGTGTTTCCCAATGTACGTTGTTTCTAATTGACATTTCTTGTAGTTTTTTAATGTCCCCTTCAAGAGAGCATATTTTATGAGGATCAATTTTAGATAGAAGAAATGCTACATTTTCAGCATTAAGGTTCATATCTTTTAATGCTTCGACTCGTTCTTTGGCTTCATCATTCAATTTTTAAACTTAATCTTCCAATTATTTTATTTTCTGTCTATGTTAATCTAACTAATTAGAGACATCTAATTTGTTTATGGCAGTTGCTAATCTGCTATTCAAATCTATAATTTTATCACTTTGCTATTTATTTGATTCAACTAACTTGTCAATCAGATTTATTTTCTATTTTAATCTTTTGATATATTCTAAATTTACAATTCATTCATTTCATTAAATTATAATTTCAACTTTTACTATTTCTCTCCTACTAAATCATCTAACCCTTTAATTTAACTTCTTACATAAGCAAGGTCTTACTATAATTTAACTAATTATTCGTTATTCTATGTTTATTGAATCTATATTGAAACTTAACATTATTACTTCTTTTAAAAGTTTATCCTCACTAGATCTAATTGCTTCATTAACAAATTCCTCATTAGTTCTCTTAGACAATAGATCTTGACAATCATGTATTTTCCAAAGAGTTTTTCTATAGAATAATATTTATTTCTAACCTTTCTACATCCCTAACAGCTTCCTCAAATTTTTAAATGTCATTTGATATTTTTTTCTCAACAGTATCTAATTCATTTCTACCACTCTTTTGTAGTTCATCTATTTACTATTCCAATTAGTTCTTTTGCTTTCTCATTTTTTCTTTACAATCTTTAGTATCATATTTAGTAAGCATATCATTTTCCAATTTCGTTATACGTTAATCTTACCTCTAATAATAGATTCATCTTATACAATTTTTTCTCTGTGCAAGTGTTGAATCATCTAAACCACCGAAAATAGTTTGCTTCTTAATTCAGTGATTATCTTCTCCAAAGCCCCTTTACCAAATTTCTACTTTCCCTAAATCTAAGTTATATAGGTATGCAAAGAACTCGATAAATCCTTTTCAATATCCTTATCTGTAAACAATAATGATTCACTTAATAATTGAAACTATTCTTGAATCTAAAATACACATTTTTATCACTAATAGTAAAATTTCACTAGGTCCCACTAACTTCTTAATTGCTTCAATCTCAACAGCGTGGTTTTCGAGATCTCCCTAAACTCCTTCCAAAAATTATTTCAAATAGTCATAATTGACATCTAATTTAAATAGGGAAACCCCTTTCAAACTTAATTCGTCTAAATACTCATTTGGTTTATACCTCCAAGTTCTTTCCTGCTTTTTTGACTTCCTTTACTTTTGATATCCATTTAATAATTTTATATTGTTTTATGAATACTTATACATTATTCATTACAAAATTAGTTGAGATTGTATTATATAAAAATCAATATTGCATTTAAATATATTTCTAGAACCTTATTAAATTATGATAGAGAAAACACTGAGTATCAATTCTTCAGAATAATTTTATCTATCATTTTTAAAGTTTCAAGATTTTGTAAAATTATTAATTTTCCAAGATTTTTAACTTCTTTTTGTGTTACTAACATAAATGATAAATTATAGCACTTAGTTAAATTTATAATTAATAGTGGAATTAAGAATCTAAAATCTAGTATTTGAAAAATTATTGATCGCATAACTGTTAATAAAAAAGTAGTACTTATTATTTTGTTTATTGTTTATCCATAGAATTCACTAATATTATTGATTGTTTTTGAGCTAGTTAATAACAACTAGAAACTTATTATTAATAAAAATTAAATTCCAATTCTTTATCAATAAAACTTAGTTAATAATTAAACTATTAAAAAATTATTAAAGTCACTTCTCTATAATTGGAAATAACTTACAAAATTTTCAATGTATTAAGATTTAATTTTAATTAACTTTTACATCAAGCTTATAATTCTATCAGATTCTAAATCTTTTTCAACAATTCAAACTCCTCATAAAAATCAAAAGTTCTTTAAAACATTATCGAATATATATTAATATTGTTTGAAAGAACATAATTTTGCTATTCAATAATAAACAGCTTATGAAACAAGATAAAGATATTGTTTATATAAAAATAATATTTCTTATGGCACTTCTCCTTTTATTAACTTATGTGATAGAGTAAAAAAGATTAGCAAAATATTCAAATTTTATTTAACTAATCATGAATGATTAAGAAATACTTATATATTTATAAATAGATGATCAAATTCTAATATCAAAAAAATATATTAGAATTATTCTATAATTAAATTCAACTGTCATTGATTAACCTTTAGATATTGAAAAATGCTTTATCTTGAATTTTCAATATATATTTGAGATACTTTAGTCTTTCATTTGGTAATCTATGGATTTATATTACTTTTTGAATAAAAATATATGAACTATCAATGTTTTGGTGGCCAAACTAAATTAAGAGCTCTTCCAATGTAATCATAGAGTGTAAATGTAATGGCAACATCCATAACAACTCTTCCCAATCTTGGTACAGTTCCTAAAACTTAGAAATATTTGATCTACCTTTGTAGAACCCTCTGATTCCTTCATGTTGATATGTTTATTTGCAACAATCCAAAACACCATTGTATTAATGGGCTTTAAGGCCCTACATTTAAGTCTTAATAACGTCAACGGGAGTATTGCACATCACTGATGCTGCACCTGCAATACCTCCTGAAAATAGGAGGACAACAGGTTCTGGTAAAAATGTGAAGTTTTTCTATAAATGTGAATTTAGAACATACCTATATCAATTTCTTAGTATCCTCGAACACAACGAATCTGATACCCTAATTGCTGCCTTGTTTTAAAATAGTTGGAATCAATCCCTTGTAAATACCTGACAAACCCATTTCATTGACGATTGATCCAATTCCATGAATCATTCCTCTGTACTTAGGAGTGCTGGATAATTTGTCATGGATCAATTTGACCTAATTTCTATATCTTTTTATTACCTTCAAAGTCTCAGTGGGGGTGACTACAACAATGGCTTCAAACACACCAGCTCCCAATCCTGCAAAGAATGTTTGGAGTCTGCTCTTTCTATCAGTGAATACGTTGTTCTTGAGCCATTCATTTGCACCGAATCTGCAAGCGACTTTAGGAATGGAAAATGTGACCAAAGGAGTCAAGCCTCTATAAAATCCTGGGATTCCAAAATTCCTATAAGTTTCACCAATGCAATATTTGACACCCTTCTATGAGTATTCCTTATAGAGTTGCATCATGGTTTTAATATACTCAGTGGGATATGTGATGCATATTTCGATTCCACCTGTGATACCACCTAAAATAAAAATGAGTGAGATTGGAGTTTACCTGAGATGATACCTCTTACTGGATCTTTGGAATCAACTTTAGCTCCACCCATTGTTATGAATTTTATTATTATTTATGGATATATATATATCTTATTTTAATAATCTGTTCAAATAATTATATTAAAATGGCATCACTTAATAAATTAAGTAGCAATGAAATTGGTAATATTGATAGATAAATTGCTAAATTAAAGCAAGGATAAATATTGACTGAACAAGAAGTCAAGAGTTTATGCATCAAAGTTTTAATATATAGCAATTACATAGGCAAAAGAGATATTATAAGATGAACCAAACATCATTTAAGTCAGAGCTCCCCTTACTATTTGTGGAGACATACATGGTCAATTTCATGATCTCATTGAACTCTTTTAAATTGGAGGAAACCTGCCAGTATATTAATTCGCAATTCACTTTTAGGACACTAATTACTTATTCCTTGGAGATTATGTTGACCGAGGATCACAATCGGTTGAGACATTTTCATTGATGTTGTCCCTCAAAGTCAGATACAAGGATCGCATAGTATTGTTGAGAGGTATATTGAATAATAATCTCAAAGGCAATCATGAAAACAGAGAAATCAATAAAATTTATGGATTTTATGATGAATGCTTTCGTAAATATGGTAACGAAATCGTGTGGAAATAATTCACTGAGGTTTTTGGCTATCTCCCACTCTCAGCAATTGTTGAATAATAAGTAACAGCAAATTTAATTAAACTCAAAGATTTTTTGTGCACATGGAGGTTTATCACCTGCAATGGAATCTGTAGATCAAATTAAATAACTTAATAGAGTCTAAGACATCCCTCACGAAGGATTAATGTGTGATTTGTTGTGGAGTGATCCTGAAGAAACAAAAAATGGTATTTTAATAAATAACTAAACAATCAAGGATGGGGAATCTCTCCAAGAGGCGCAGGTTGGACCTGGGGTTGCGACATCACAGAGAAATTCTTACACTCCAATAAATTGAAATAAATCGCCAGAGCCCATCAATTAGTCATGGAAGGAATCCAAAAAGTCCATAATCAAAAGACTATTACTATATTCTCAGCCCCTAATTATTGTTATAGATGTGGTAATTAAGCATGCATCGTTGAGGTTGACGAATAACTTAAGATGAATTAGTATCCTCAATTAGCATTTATTATAGGACACAATTTGAACCAGCGCCAAGAGAAAATGAGCCTCACACAACCAGAAGAGTACCTGATTATTTTCTTTGAAATATATAAATATGCTATATAATACAAATTGCTATTTAAAAGTCAACCTTTTACAAAATCCAGTAGAATTTAATATTCACCCTTTANTTACCTGAGATGATACCTCTTACTGGATCTTTGGAATCAACTTTAGCTCCACCCATTGTTATGAATTTTATTATTATTTATGGATATATATATATCTTATTTTAATAATCTGTTCAAATAATTATATTAAAATGGCATCACTTAATAAATTAAGTAGCAATGAAATTGGTAATATTGATAGATAAATTGCTAAATTAAAGCAAGGATAAATATTGACTGAACAAGAAGTCAAGAGTTTATGCATCAAAGTTTTAATATATAGCAATTACATAGGCAAAAGAGATATTATAAGATGAACCAAACATCATTTAAGTCAGAGCTCCCCTTACTATTTGTGGAGACATACATGGTCAATTTCATGATCTCATTGAACTCTTTTAAATTGGAGGAAACCTGCCAGTATATTAATTCGCAATTCACTTTTAGGACACTAATTACTTATTCCTTGGAGATTATGTTGACCGAGGATCACAATCGGTTGAGACATTTTCATTGATGTTGTCCCTCAAAGTCAGATACAAGGATCGCATAGTATTGTTGAGAGGTATATTGAATAATAATCTCAAAGGCAATCATGAAAACAGAGAAATCAATAAAATTTATGGATTTTATGATGAATGCTTTCGTAAATATGGTAACGAAATCGTGTGGAAATAATTCACTGAGGTTTTTGGCTATCTCCCACTCTCAGCAATTGTTGAATAATAAGTAACAGCAAATTTAATTAAACTCAAAGATTTTTTGTGCACATGGAGGTTTATCACCTGCAATGGAATCTGTAGATCAAATTAAATAACTTAATAGAGTCTAAGACATCCCTCACGAAGGATTAATGTGTGATTTGTTGTGGAGTGATCCTGAAGAAACAAAAAATGGTATTTTAATAAATAACTAAACAATCAAGGATGGGGAATCTCTCCAAGAGGCGCAGGTTGGACCTGGGGTTGCGACATCACAGAGAAATTCTTACACTCCAATAAATTGAAATAAATCGCCAGAGCCCATCAATTAGTCATGGAAGGAATCCAAAAAGTCCATAATCAAAAGACTATTACTATATTCTCAGCCCCTAATTATTGTTATAGATGTGGTAATTAAGCATGCATCGTTGAGGTTGACGAATAACTTAAGATGAATTAGTATCCTCAATTAGCATTTATTATAGGACACAATTTGAACCAGCGCCAAGAGAAAATGAGCCTCACACAACCAGAAGAGTACCTGATTATTTTCTTTGAAATATATAAATATGCTATATAATACAAATTGCTATTTAAAAGTCAACCTTTTACAAAATCCAGTAGAATTTAATATTCACCCTTTATATATACATAATCTAATTATTCCGTTAGGAAATTAATATTTATTATTTAAAGTTCTTTTAATAATAAATAATGAATCCAAATCATATTATTCATAAAATATAATAATTTTCCAAGATATTTGCAAAAATAAATTAGTTAATTCTCACTTCATTTAATATTGGTGCATTTATATTATATAAGCGATTGAAGTCTTAAGGATTTAAGATATCAGAATCACTTTAACTACCCTAGAAGAACGTCATTAAATTAAGCCTTCTATATAATTTTGAAAGCATAGTCACCAGGTATATAATTGTTTTATATTGGTCAACTTTTAAGATAATTTTTAATCTTCACATATTGTTTTTGTTCTCTTGTTAGGTAAATTTTGTCAGAGATCAAAGTGGAAGACAGGTACATTCTTTTAAATTAACTTAAAAAAATCTAATCCATCATTTTTGGATTTCTAACTAGAACATTTTTGAATAAGATTAGAATCTTATATATATCAGACTATATTAAGTATGTAATAATATAGATCAAGTAAGCAAAACCTAGTCAACCAGATTTTACAAGGGGTTTGTTTTAGATAATTTCTAGATTCTCAAGATTCTATTGGCTGGAGCAATTATTGTATATCTTCACATTTCTAACGACCTCTTCGATGCGAAGAATGGATGGTCTAGACTTCTTATGACGAATTTTTCTATAATGATTCTAAAAATAGTACTTTTTAAAAAGTAAGCATTGGGAACTAACTCTACATTTTTTTGAACAATTTTCGTCCAAGAATTACTCAGAAATCAGCTGTTGTTGATTGGTCTGGAATTCTAAAGGAGAAAGGGGACACAAGTTAATATCTAAATCATTTATCATAATATATGTTATTAATAATAATACATATTTAAATTACTTTTGATTAATAAATACAATAATTCCTTACACTATCAAATGATAAAATTTATTATCTATTATGTAATTTGATCTTCAAAACTTTATTTTGCACTATGAAGGCCAGCGTATATTTAAAATAAATTTCCTAAATTGTTATTATTCATCTAACTTATAATCAACAATAATATTAATTCACTACTATTTTAAGATTTTTGAATATCCTTATTCTAAAAATATATAATATAGAATAATTTATTCATTTTAACTAATAATTGCTATCCATCATTATAATTAAATGAGAAAACACACTCATGATGAATTAAGTCACAATTAAATTTTATATTATTATTTAGACTCATCATCAAACCACAAAAACAATTATTATACTTTTTGATATTCTTACGTTTACAGGGTATTATGAAACCTAATATAAGTAGCTTAATTGAGAGATATAGTAATTGTATTTTAAAGAGACAAGAGTTAAATCATTATATGAAATTTTTATTTTTGTCAAATTCCGTAAATTTCATTAATTAAATAATTTGATATCGAATTATACTTAATTAATAGTTTTTGATTAAGTAAATGAGCTTATTTTATGTGCACTAATAGATAAAAATGAGTCAAATTCCAGTTTGGAACTTTAACTTTCAAGATTTATGTTCTTATAATAGAAATCAAATGTGGTGATATTAAAGGAAATTTGATTAAGTTTTCAAAAATAAATGTTAGCGAAATAGAAATTTATTTTCTATTAATAATAATAAGAGTTAATTGACAGAATAATATGTTTTATACGAAAACACTTAATACTAAATGGTCCATTTTTGATATAATTAAATATTCCAATAGACTGAAATTATTTTATTTTTAGAGTTTCTTTAGTAATTAGAACTGAAATCTAATGACAAAATTTAGCTAAATTTAACTTACCTTTAAAACATCACTATTATAGTCATCTTTACAGATGTAAATAGTAAACATTGGATTAGAATTAAAACATGATTTTTATAACGATATAATATTGGCGGGATTATTACATTTTATTTTGATATTTGATATTTTATCTCAGACTATATTATCAAAGTAAATAACTTTTATATATTTCTATTTATAAATCTGGTTGTTATTGATATATTACTTACTAAATTAGATGCCATGAGTTAAAATAGTAGGTAAAATTATTTGATCAAATTGGATAATTTGTTTATTTTCAAATTTGGATTCATTTAGTTTTCGCAATCATATTATAAATTCTACGAATCCTTTATGTTTTTTAGCCATTCCTAGATACAGATAACTTATCTGGTTCATATAACTAAGAGCTAAAATGTATAAAAATTACAAACAATTCTACAAAGTCTTTAAATTTTTTGGCTATCAAAATGTCATCAAGAAGTTAAGTAATTCTAAGTGCTAGAAGGGGTTGAAGCTTTAGAATATTTATTATAACAATAATTATAGATAAAAATAGAATCATATTTATCAAATTCATAGTTTTTATTATAAAAATGGAATCTATGGATTGAAGATTAAATTAATGAAGCA